CACTCGTAGTGGGGGGGGGGGGGGGGATCCGTAATTTTGTGACGTGTATTGAGGGGGAGGGGGTCAGATAGTGTGACGTCATATTTTATTTTTATTTTAAAAAAGTAATGTTAGAAACTGAATTTTAGCCGCTATTACGCGTTTTAGAAAACTTTAAAAAAATTGTAATATAAATTAATTAAAATATCCTACGTTGGTCGAGCTCAGTCAATCTTTTAGAAAAAAAAACGATGTTTAAAAAAAAATTCAAATTCAATATTGAGGAGGGTGGAGCGGTTTTTGGCTGAGGTGTGACGTCATTTTAGGGGGGGGGGCTGTCTTTTATGATGGAGAGGGGAGGTAAAAATCGTAAAAAAAAAACGTGACGTCATTTATGGATGACCTCAAACAATTTACAGTTAAGCCATTCCAAAAACATAAATAACAATGTGGTTTGGCTATCGAAATGGTTAACTTTGGTTCACATATCAGACCCTTTCTAATTTCAGCTAATCTGGTCAATTTCATTTTCCATCACCTGAACCCAAAACTTTCAAATTACAATTAATCTGAATCTAGGCATTTTACAGTTGAAGACTAACATTTTTACCATGCCAATCTTTAAAAGAATATAAGGCATAATTTAAAATTGAAAACAAAAGTGTAACTAGACTACATTAGTACACTTTAAATTAGCTAAATGTTGAACTTAACTGCCACTTTTGTTACATTGTAATTGTAATTTTTTTTTAAAAAGTTGTTTATAAGTTAAACATTAAATTGCAATTCGACAAGACTTTCAATGTCATTTTAGAGTAACATAAACTTCTTTTATTTATAATATTAGCTATATTAAACGATTAATTAGAACAGTAATGGCGTGAGACTGCTTTAACCGCGATTAAAAAAATAGATAAAACATATTGAGTTCTTGTCCGAAGAAAATTTCCTAATTTTTTTCCCTGGTCTGGTCACATCCCATAATTAAGCTAATCCCAGAGGATTAAGCTATACCCAGAGGAAACATTACTAGCAAAGGATGTCTAATCAAACCCCACCCTCCACACATTACTAACACGCACACCATAGACCAAATATCTAATCAAACCCCACACATTACTAACACACACCATAGACCAAATATCTAATCAAACCCCACCCTCCACACATTACTAACACACACCATAGACCAAATGTCTAATCAAACCCCACACATTACTAACACACACACCATAGACCAAATATTTAATCAAACCCCACCCCCCACACATTACTAACACACACCATAGACCAAATATCTAATCAAACCCCACACATTACTAACACACACACACACACACACACACCATAGACCAAATATTTAATCATGATATTGCTTATTTATTGTATATTTAACATTTAGAATTGTTCAACCACTACCACTTGAAATACAGACCGACAAGGGTTAATATGTATGCTAATAAATAGAATTAAAGTATATAATTTTCATGATTCTTTTTCCTGAGGTATTAACAGGGATGTGACTTTTCCGAATTTTAGCGGAAATCCGATTTTTCCGTTTCAGCTGCAATTTTCCTCCGCTGATTTCATTTTTGCCGAATTTTTCCGCCGATCTTCGATTTTTGCCGAAGTTTTAAAAATTAGGAAAAAAAAAACGAAAATGACATCTACTGAAACGGCCGACTTGCGCATTCCATATATTAGTATTTAAATCGAAAATTACAGTACTTAGGTCAAATATGCACATTTCTTTTTAATTAGACGATTGCGCTAGGTCTGACGGTGCTAGATTAAGATGAAACATAGATCTAGATCTAGGTCAAGATTCAGAATTTCTGCGAATTTCAGTATTTTTCAGAACGCAATTTTTTGGTCCAAATTTTTCCGCTGATATCAGTTGAATATTTATCAAAAACACGGGAAAAAGTACTCTAAAATAATGCCTTTCTTCAAATGAAACTCGCATCTCCCTAGCCTGGTAATCTAGCTATCGATATAGCCTAATTTATCTTTCTGTATTTAAACCCACCCAAATCTACAGTTTCTATCTGATTTTATTTTATTTAGCTATCTAAAATTAATATTAAAATCCTTGCAAAAGGTGACTATGTCTATAAGGACTAGACTACACCCCCCTTGTAGCAACCGTGGCTCTTGTGACCTCACCTTGACCCCCAAGTACGTGTTTGGTACTGCTTGTGGGAAAAAAAATTAAAATGACGTCACAGTAATTTCAAATAGCTGTTCCTCAGCAATACCTATGCTATAGGCCTAAAGATTAAAAAAAAAACTGAACTCAACGTGACTCCGAAGAAAAAATACGACATGGACTGTTATTAATAAGGGGTCTTCCATAAACAACGTCACACTCGTAGTGGGGGGGGGGGGGGATCCGTAATTTTGTGACGTGTATTGAGGGGGAGGGGGTCAGATAGTGTGACGTCATATTTTATTTTTATTTTAAAAAAGTAATGTTAGAAACTGAATTTTAGCCGCTATTACGCGTTTTAGAAAACTTTAAAAAAATTGTAATATAAATTAATTAAAATATCCTACGTTGGTCGAGCTCAGTCAATCTTTTAGAAAAAAAAACGATGTTTAAAAAAAAATTCAAATTCAATATTGAGGAGGGTGGAGCGGTTTTTGGCTGAGGTGTGACGTCATTTTAGGGGGGGGGGGCTGTCTTTTATGATGGAGAGGGGAGGTAAAAATCGTAAAAAAAAAACGTGACGTCATTTATGGATGACCTCAAACAATTTACAGTTAAGCCATTCCAAAAACATAAATAACAATGTGGTTTGGCTATCGAAATGGTTAACTTTGGTTCACATATCAGACCCTTTCTAATTTCAGCTAATCTGGTCAATTTCATTTTCCATCACCTGAACCCAAAACTTTCAAATTACAATTAATCTGAATCTAGGCATTTTACAGTTGAAGACTAACATTTTTACCATGCCAATCTTTAAAAGAATATAAGGCATAATTTAAAATTGAAAACAAAAGTGTAACTAGACTACATTAGTACACTTTAAATTAGCTAAATGTTGAACTTAACTGCCACTTTTGTTACATTGTAATTGTAATTTTTTTTTAAAAAGTTGTTTATAAGTTAAACATTAAATTGCAATTCGACAAGACTTTCAATGTCATTTTAGAGTAACATAAACTTCTTTTATTTATAATATTAGCTATATTAAACGATTAATTAGAACAGTAATGGCGTGAGACTGCTTTAACCGCGATTAAAAAAATAGATAAAACATATTGAGTTCTTGTCCGAAGAAAATTTCCTAATTTTTTTCCCTGGTCTGGTCACATCCCATAATTAAGCTAATCCCAGAGGATTAAGCTATACCCAGAGGAAACATTACTAGCAAAGGATGTCTAATCAAACCCCACCCTCCACACATTACTAACACGCACACCATAGACCAAATATCTAATCAAACCCCACACATTACTAACACACACCATAGACCAAATATCTAATCAAACCCCACCCTCCACACATTACTAACACACACCATAGACCAAATGTCTAATCAAACCCCACACATTACTAACACACACACCATAGACCAAATATTTAATCAAACCCCACCCCCCACACATTACTAACACACACCATAGACCAAATATCTAATCAAACCCCACACATTACTAACACACACACACACACACACACCATAGACCAAATATTTAATCAAACCCCACCCTCCACACATTACTAACACACACCATAGACCAAATATCTAATCAAACCCCACACATTACTAACACACACACACACACACACACCATAGACCAAATATTTAATCAAACCCCACCCTCCACACATTACTAACACACACACCATAGACCAAATATTTAATCAAACCCCACCCTCCACACATTACTAACACACACCATAGACCAAATATCTAATCAAACCTCACCCTCCACACATTACTAACACACACCATAGACCAAATATCTAATCAAACCTCACCCTCCACACATTACTAACACACACCATAGACCAAATATCTAATCAAACCCCACCCTTCACACATTACTAACACACACACCATAGACCAAATGTCTAATCAAACCCCACACATTACTAACACACACCATAGACCAAATATCTAATCAAACCCCACCCTCCACACATTACTAACACACACCATAGACCAAATATCTAATCAAACCCCACCCTCCACACATTACTAACACACACACCATAGACCAAATGTCTAATCAAACCCCACCCTCCACACATTACTAACACACACCATAGACCAAATATCTAATCAAACCCCACACATTACTAACACACACCATAGACCAAATGTCTAATCAAACCCCACCCCCCACACATTACTAACACACACCATAGACCAAATGTATAATCAAACCCCACCCCCCACACATTACTAACACACACCATAGACCAAATATCTAATCAAACCCCACCCTCCACACATTACTAACACACACCATAGACCAAATATCTAATCAAACCCCACACTCCACACATTACTAACACACACACCATAGACCAAATGTCTAATCAAACCCCACCCTCCACACATTACTAACACACACCATAGACCAAATGTCTAATCAAACCCCACCCTCCACACATTACTAACACACACCATAGACCAAATGTATACTCAAACCCCACCCGCCATAAATCACTACCACTTTTGCCCAGGCACCATCTAACATACATTTCATGCTCAATTAATGTTGGACAAAAACTATTTTCAGTGACATTAGGCTACCAAATGAAGGAGAAAACTTGACTGTGGGCAGCAATGTCGTGTCGGTAACTTCCCTTGGTGCTGTACAGAATGTCACTGTTAACTTGATTTTTTCCGTCCAACAGGCAAGTCACAGCCATCCAAAGTCCATTCTATCTGTCAAAACTATTGATGAATTATTTAAATTTAATAATTAATTTTGCTTTATTTTAAACATTTTGTTTATTAACAAGTGTCTGGTTTTTATTATTCCTTGCAGTCTGAATTGAACTCACCTCTGTGTGCTTTTGTTGACACCACATTTAGGTAATATTATTTTATATTGTTATATCCCATTTCTGACAGCTGTATAACAGTTGATATATTTAACCGGACATTTAAAAAAATGTATTCTGTTGTAAAGTGTGTTTCGGTACAGGGTCGATGCTGAACGTGACGAACGAGGTATAGATTGAATATAGATGAGACAAGGCGGCTTGATCCATTTCTATAATTTTATTACATCAATACATACACTCATACAGCTTCATCAACAGCAGACACAGAACAAAGATTTCCTAACACAACCTCACAAGACGACGACAAGAACAAGACTGACTTCCAACTATCTTCATAACAACCAAAACATTCTCTCTTACGTCACATCCTTATTTATTCACGCATTCATAATCTTTTATTAATACGGCTACACAAATACTCTCAAACCATCGACAACTTTATTAACCCCGTTCAACCACACACATACTCTCAAACTCATTCCATACACTTAAGTCCATTCACAACATATACCAGTAATTTAATAGTGGCTTCAAACGTAGTTTTAAATTGAACTATGGGATATACATTTGTTTAATTGTATGAGCTTAAAATCAAATCTACAACCAATGCTAGCATTCAAAATCAAATTAACTGAGATAAAACTGATACACTTGTACTTTAATTAACTGGCCTACAAAATCTACTTTCTATTTCAGCAAAGGGACAAACGTCTACTGGTCTGATGTAGGCTGTCGAATCGTCTCTCAAAACTTCACTCATGTGGTTTGCTCCTGCCAGCATATGACCAACTTTGCCGTCGTTATGAGCAGGTTTGAAAATGTAAGCATTTTATTATATCTTCTCCAGATCAAGTACATATTGTAAAATTTTAAATTTATTCATCTAAAATTTTAAACTCATACATTTGGAAAATAAGACAATAAAATTTTACTTTTATTATTTTATACTTCCCTATAGATATATAAATATAGGCCTACCTATTTTAAATTTTTCAAACAAAACACTCCAGGCACTGCCAAAATTTTATAGATCTAGCCTCTTTTCAAGAAAAGCAGAAATTTCCTGATATTTTATCACCAAACAAGAAATACAAGAAATAAAGCACCCCCTAGATCTTTATCAGCACACACAAAACTAACGAGAATTCCATTTTAAAAAACCAAGTTAAAAATAATGGCTAGAATAGTGTTGTGTGTGCTTTAAATAGAGGCAGAGATGTGCAAATATGCAAAGTTTTGCCTTAATTTTTCTGTGCTAAGACATGCATAAATGTCCATTTAAATATGGAAATATCAGTTTTTTGTTGTCTAATATATAATGTATTGCCTACTCAAGATTGAAGAAGCATTTATACAAAAGAGATAATTAAAATGGAATCATTCAGTACAGTCCTCTTAAATGAAATTATTTTAGACTTTATCTTAGTGGACACCAAGTGATGCATAATTGACATTAACACTCATATAACAGAAATGTAGAGTCTGCACTATGTCTGGCCACCTTTTCCATACATTCATATAACAGGACTGTAGAGTCTGCACTATGTCTAGCCACCTTTTCCATACACTCATATAACAGGACTGTAGAGTCTGCACTATGTCTAGCCACCTTTTCCATACATTCATATAACAGGACTGTAGAGTCTGCACTATGTCTAGCCACCTTTTCCTTAAACTCATATAACAGGACTGTAGAGTCTGCACTATGTCTGGCCACCTTTTCCTTACACTCATATAACAGGACTGTAGAGTCTGCACTATGTCTAGCCACCTTTTCCATACACTCATATAACAGGACTGTAGAGTCTGCACTATGTCTAGCCACCTTTTCCATACATTCATATAAAGGAAATGTAGAGTCTGCACTATGTCTAGCCACCTTTTCCTTAAACTCATATAACAGAAATGTAGAGTCTGCACTATGTCTAGTCACCTTTTCCATACACTCATATAACAGGACTGTAGAGTCTGCACTATGTCTAGCCACCTTTTCCATACATTCATAAAACAGGACTGTAGAGTCTGCACTATGTCTAGCCACCTTTTTTTTATACATTCATATAACAGGACTGTAGAGTCTGCACTATGTCTAGCCACCTTTTCCTTTTGACCTCCACATATAACAGGACTGTAGAGTCTGCACTATGTCTAGCCACCTTTTCCTTACACTCATATAACAGAAATGTAGAGTCTGCACTATGTCTAGCCACCTTTTCCTTTTGACCTCCACATATAACAGGACTGTAGAGTCTGCACTATGTCTAGCCACCTTTTCCTTAAACTCATATAACAGAAATGTAGAGTCTGCACTATGTCTAGCCACCTTTTCCTTTTGACCTCCACATATAACAGGACTGTAGAGTCTGCACTATGTCTAGCCACCTTTTCCTTAAACTCATATAACAGAAATGTAGAGTCTGCACTATGTCTAGCCACCTTTTCCATACATTCATATAACAGGACTGTAGAGTCTGCACTATGTCTAGCCACCTTTTCCATACACTCATATAACAGGACTGTAGAGTCTGCACTATGTCTAGCCACCTTTTCCTTTTGACCTCCACATATAACAGGACTGTAGAGTCTGCACTATGTCTAGCCACCTTTTCCTTACACTCATATAACAGGACTGTAGAGTCTGCACTATGTCTAGCCACCTTTTCCATACACTCATATAACAGGACAGTAGAGTCTGCACTATGTCTAGCCACCTTTTCCATACACTCATATAACAGAAATGTAGAGTCTGCACTATGTCTAGCCACCTTTTCCATACACTCATATAACAGAAATGTAGAGTCTGCACTATGTCTAGCCACCTTTTCCATACACTCATATAACAGGACTGTAGAGTCTGCACTATGTCTAGCCACCTTTTCCTTACACTCATATAACAGGACTGTAGAGTCTGCACTATGTCTAGCCACCTTTTCCTTTTGACCTCCACATATAACAGGACTGTAGAGTCTGCACTATGTCTAGCCACCTTTTCCATACATTCATATAACAGGGCTGTAGAGTCTGCACTATGTCTAGCCACCTTTTCCATACACTCATATAACAGGACTGTAGAGTCTGCACTATGTCTAGCCACCTTTTCCTTACACTCATATATCAGGACTGTAGAGTCTGCACTATGTCTAGCCACCTTTTCCATACACTCATATAACAGGACTGTAAAGTCTGCACTATGTCTGGCCACCTTTTCCTGGCGCGTCCTGGTTAGGAATGTATGATAGTTGTAGTACATCTAGAGCACAGGTTCTCAAACTTTTTCAGTGGTGACCCTTTTTTTACTTAGGCTACAATGGAAGAAATGATTTTCTTCAAAAGCAATTTTTAAAAAAATGAATAATGTTTTTAGAATTGCTTTATTTGAAATTATTTTTAATAAATTATTAAGGTTGTTAAAATTATGTGTTAATAACCAGCTTCAAAATGCATGGGTGAGCTTTTATTAATGCTAACCTTATGTCAATTTTCAACATTTAATTATTTTCTTTTATATGAAGACTTGAATATGCATTTCTTTTAGATGAAGACTTGATTTTGCATTTCTTTTAAATGAAGACTTGAATATGCATTTCTTTTAGATGAAGACTTGATTTTGCATTTCTTTTAAATGAAGACGTAAATATGCATACATGCAGAGATGTGTCGACAATGGAGCTAAACGTGGTGTTTGCAATCATCATAAAATTTTAAATTTTACATACACTGAGATTGACAAGAAATTGTTTCACCATCTTCAACATGTAGGGTTGAATGTGCTTTCTCAAATGGTGTGAGGGTTTATTTTACTAGGCAATTTCCAATGTGGCATCATATGCTGCTTGCACTAATGTTGCCGTTTCTTCTTAAAAACGTACTGTTCTATCATGTCTTTGATGATTGCACTAATGCTGCACTTTCTTGTTAAAAACTTAGCGACCCCTGATTTAGAAAATTCTAACCTGTGTTTTAAAGAAAGCCATTGGCTCAGTGACTTGAAAAGTCATCATTTGGTTCACCACCTGTCATGTACTGCCAAGTACTTGGAAAAAAATGTGACGATAATATACAGACAAATAGGCCTGTATTTACATATACAGATATATATATATATATATATATATATATATATATATATATATATATATATATATATATATATATATATATATATATATATATATATATATATATATGTATATATCTGTGTGTGTGTATATATATTCAATGTTTCATTAAAAGCTATTTAACTTTGTAATTTTTGTAAATTATTCCAGAGAGATGATGACCCAATACTGACCTGGATGACCAAGATAGGAATTTACATATCACTTAGCAGCTTAGTTCTTGCATCAATAATATTTTTAGTTTGCTGGAAGTACGTGCTATAGACATCCTTATAAACCTGTTCTTATATTTATATATATATATATATATATATATATATATATATATATATATATATATATATATATATATATATACGATTACACCATAACCTCAACATGTATGGCATACACTTATTTCATTATTTGTATTTATATACGTGCCAAAATTTCTATTGTGCTACACAGAATAAATACTGTTGACTCTAGAATTTTATTTCCTAACAGGCATACGGAGTGACAAGAATGTTCTCCATTTAAATTTATGTAGTTGTTTGGCTGTTGGCTACATCCTGTTTCTGTTTGGGGGTGATAAAACGGAGGACAAAGTAGGTCAACATATTTGGGTGGTCTTTTGTAAATTTGCCAACAATTTAATTTTATCATTTTAATTAACACAAATTCAGGTGTGGATGTTTATATATATGGTTCCATGACAAATCATCTCAGGACAAATGATCTCAGACAAAATATCTCACGGACAGATGATCTCAAGGACATATGATCTCATGGACAAAAAATATCAGGACAAATGATTTCATGGACAAATGATCTCAGACAAAATATCTTACTGCAAAATGTGTATAGTACTTTAGATTATTTCAGTCGATTTTAACATTTTAAAACAAAATTGACTGTCTTTAGGATTTTTACATAATTGTGAGAAAAGGTTTTTGGCATAGGTTTGTCACATTACATTGAACATGTTAAAATTGGAATTAAAAATATAATATTCGAATATTCAAAATAAGTTTTCATAGACAATGTAGGTGGGCTTGCCGATCATGAGACAATTCTACCACATTAGGTGGACAAAACTATATCAAAGGGGATATCTCATTTATTGATGAAAGGGCTATGAAAATACACCTATGTAGCAATAAAAAACCAATTTCATATTACGAACCCATAGACCCAAACTTCCTTTTTGAAAACTGTTTCTCGTGTTTTGCCATTAATGTGGTTAATTTAATGCTATCATCATTTTCTTAGCCTTTTATGCATTTTATGTCCAATTCTTTCATATAAATTAATATTTCTTTATAAAAAGTAAGTTTGCTTAGTCTTTGGATGGTTTGTTTATTAAGCTTAAGTTATACCTCACAATAATTATGCATGAAGAAAAAAATCCACAATATGACATTCAATAAAAAGAAAGTTAAAATCAACTAAAATAATCCTAAATACTAAAAATATTTTCCTGTGAGATATTTTGTCTGAAATCATTTGTTCATGATATAATTTGTCCAGATATATTTTGTCCTGGTATTGTTTGTCCATAAGATATTTTCTCTGAGAACATTTGTCCTAAGATCATTTGTCCTGTCATATATATACATATATATATATATATATATATATATATATATATATATATATATATATATATATATATATATATATATATATATATATATATATATATATATATAAAGTTTTATTGAAGGTTTTCAAAAAACTATATACATATATATATGCATGTATATAGTTTTTCATGAGATTTTTTTTAATCATTCGACAGGAACTTTGTACGATGGTCGCCATTTTTTTACACTACATCTTCCTTGTAGTGTTTTGCATCATGCTAGGCGAGGGCGTCCTGATCCTCAAGACAGTCGTTTATGTGTTTGATACTTCTTCTGTTGCAATCGATATTTTGATACTGGCCTATGGTACTGTGAAAATACTAAACACTTAAAACCTAAATATAATATTTTATACACGTAGAACAAAAGCACAATAACTCAATTTAAAATCAAAGTATAAATCTGGTTTGATATCATTGGTTGATTACACAAAGTACTGTGCATAAGAAAGCTACTAAAAAGTTTGCTAAATTAGCTGCTAACAGTTTTGGTAAATCAGATATTATTTATATAGGCCTATATATATATATATATATATATATATATATATATATATATATATATATATATATATATACAGATAAGTTTGTGTTAACTACTATTTTGAACTAATGATTTTACTAAAATGTTTAGGTTTCCCTACAGTGATCATATCTGCAACTATGTGTGCAACAAACTTGCGTGGCTATGGGGATGAAACATTGTTAGTAACATTTGTTTCAACTTCCATCTTTCTGTGTTTTTTTTTTTTATTTTGATTGCTTTAATTTAGCTGTCACTTTTACTTTCTTTTATAAATATAAATTTTGGGAAGTACAGTGATCCTGTAAAAAATGAAAATTGAGATTTTACAAGTCTCAGTTTTGCAATCTGGTCTATTTCTATATCTGTTTGTGTGTGTATACACCACAATTGGAGTATGCTTTCAATTAGGTTGAGGAAATGTCATATATAGTATAATACTATTTTATAATTAGACTTCTTTCAACTTTTGAGTTATATCACTTTACAAGAAGAGTATTTACTTTATTTCCGGTTTGTTTGAGTTAGGTGGGAAAACATTCAAATATAAGTAGATCTATAAGATTGTATACACAGTACAGGTCTCTTGGTTTGTTTGAGTTAGGTGGGAGAACATTCAAATATAAGTAGATCTATAAGATTGTATACACAGTACAGGTCTCATAGTTTAAGTTAGGTGGGAGAACATTCAAATGTAAGTAGATCTATAAGATTGTATACACAGTACAGGTCTCATGGTTTGTTTGAGTTAGGTGGGAGAACATTCAAATATAAGTAGATCTATAAGATTGTATACACAATACAGGTCTCATAGTTTAAGTTAGGTGGGAGAACATTCAAATATAAGTAGATCTATAAGATTGTATACACAGCACAGGTTTGTGCCCTACTAGCCATTTATATCTGTTACACGTGATTTATGGGCCTATTTATTTTAATGTTTTACTTGTTTGAGAAAAATATTTCATAAAATAGTTATTGGTCAAAATGTGTGCTTTACTACAGGTTGAAAATATTAGTAACAAAACAATGAAATGTTTGTATGTATAAAAACCTAATTGCTTTAAACAAAATGTTTTTTTTTTAAATACAGTTGCTGGTTAAGCTCAGAAGGAGGTGTCATCTGGGCCTTTATTGGTCCTGTCATTGTCATTATGGTTGTAAGTAATACAGATTTTCTAGTTTTAATTTATTGCTTAAAATTCCCTGCCTCCAAAGCTTAGTTGTATAGGGGGGGGATATGAATTAGTAGCGACCAAAAGAACTTAGACTTCATGTTTTCCGAGTATGGGATTCGCCTGGCGCTGAGGTTGTAATTTGCCTGGCGCTGAGGTTGTAATTTGCCTGGCTCTGAGGTTGGAATTTGCCTGGCTATGAGGTTGGAATTTGCCTGGCTATGAGGTTGGAATTTGCCTGGCTATGAGGTTGGAATTTCCCTGGCACTGAGGTTTGAATTCGCCTGGTGCTGAGGTTGGAATTTGCCTGGTGCTGAGGTTGGAATTTGCCTGGTGCTGAGGTTGGAATTTGCCTGGCTATGAGGTTGGAATTTCCCTGGCACTGAGGTTGGAATTTGCCTGGTGCTGAGGTTGGAATTTGCCTGGTGCTGAGGTTGGAATTTGCCTGGTGCTGAGGTTGGAATTTGCCTGGCGCTGAGGTTGGAATTTGCCTGGCGCTGAGGTTGGAATTTGCCTGGCACTGAGGTTGGAATTTGCCTGGTGCTGAGGTTGGAATTAGCCTGGCGCTGAGGTTGGAATTTGCCTGGCGCTGAGGTTGGAATTTGCCTGGTGCTGAGGTTGGAATTTGCCTGGCACTGAGGTTGGAATTTGCCTGGTGCTGAGGTTGGAATTTGCCTGGCTCTGAGGTTGAAATTTGCCTGGCACTGAGGTTGGAATTTGCCTGGTGCTGAGGTTGGAATTTGCCTGGCTCTGAGGTTGGAATTTGCCAGGTGCTGAGGTTGGAATTTCCCTGGCGCTGAGGTTGGAATGACTAAGTTAGTGTTGACAGCTAGTCAAGTTTGACAGACCAAAGACTATACTTTCAAAAACAAAAAAAATCTAGTTAACACTATGCATGACATTTTCACATGTAACTTTTAAGATTATGTGTGGGGGTTGAGGCTATACATGGTTATTGCATCTTAACAATAAACGTTTAAGAGGCAAAAATGTTTTATAGACTTGCTGTGTGTTTCTATTCAGATCAAGGTCCTAACAAAATAATAGCTTTGAAAATAAAAATGAAATAAATGATTCAATTGTTGGAAAAATATATTTTTTTTTAAGAAAAAAACTATTAAATAAATTTAATGTAAAATTAAATATTCCTTGGATAATGGTTTATTTGTAGAACAAAGAAACAATCACAAATATCTACTGTATATATAGAAAGGCACTGGTTTTTAACCAGAATTCAAATGTATTCAGCTAAAGGAGTAATGCTATTATATCAACAGATCAATGTCATAATTCTGGTCTATGTTATAATATCAACAGATCAATGTCATAATTCTGGTCTATGTTATAATATAACAGATTAATGTCATAATTCTGGTCTATGTTATAAAAAAAAACAGATTAATGTCATAATTCTGGTCTATGTTATAATATCAACAGATCAACGTCATAATTCTGGTCTATGTTATAATGACAATGCTGAGGACAAGAGCCATGAGAGATCAATCTCACTTTAAAAGAGCGACGTAAGTTTTGTGTACATCTTGTTGAAAAGAAAGCAACTGTTTAACTCTACTTTAAGCATGAAAACAAAGCAACTGTTTGACTGTATTATTGGGCATGAAAACAAAGCAACTGTTTGACTATTATTGGGCATGAAAACAAAGCAACGTTTTGACTGAATTATTGGGCATGAAAACAAAGCAACTATTTGACCGAATTATTGGGCATGAAAACAAAGCAACTGTTTGACTGTATTATTGGGAATGAAAACAAAGCAACCTGTTGACAGTATTATTGGGAATGAAAACAAAGCAACTGTTTGACTGTATTATTGGGCTTGAATGTTTGTTAGAAATAATGAGATCAAACACTGATGCATATAGGCTTAGAACAATGATGATAGAGGATATGTGACTGCCACATAATGATGTTAAATGACTACTTAATATAGCCACATAATGATGATAAGTGACTACTTAAAATAGCCACATAATGATGATAAGTGACTACTTAATATAGCCACCTAATGATGTTAAATGACTACTTAATATAGCCACATAATGATGTTAAATGACTACTTAATATAGCCACATAATGATGTTAAATGACTACTTAATATAGCCACATGATGATGATAAGTGACTACTTAAAATAGCCACATGATGATGATAAGTGACTACTTAATATAGCCACCTAATGATGATAAGTGACTACTTAAAATAGCTACATTATGATGATAAGTGACTACTTAAAATAGCTACATTATGATGATAAGTGACTACTTAATTTAGCCACATAATAAGTGACTACTTAAAATAGACACATAATAATGATAAGTGACTACTTAATATAGCCACTTAATGATGAAAAGTGATTACAGCAAACAGCCATATAACTGATGATAAGTGATTACTTAATACAGCCATATGAAATCTTTGTCAGATGATTAATGATTATTTCAAACTTCTTACCAATATTAGTAACTAAGGCCATTCCTACAACAGTATTTGTAGTTCATGTCTTACCAATATTAGTAACTAAGGCCATTCCTACAACAGTATTTGTAGTTCATGTCTTACCAATATTAGTAACTAAGGCCATTCCTACAACAGTATTTGTAGTTCATGTCTTACCAATATTAGTAACTAAGGCCATTCCTACAACAGTATTTGTAGTTCATGTCTTACCAATATCAATAACAATCCTATTCTGACAAAATTAAGAAGAATGCCATTTTTACCCAAATTATTAACCAGCGCTATGGCTCTAAGACAGTGGGTAGTAAACTTGTTACTAATGTAAATAACCAGTGCCATCTTTAACCCTGAACCTAATCTTAACTTAAAATATTGTGTTGCCACTACCTCCACTTTTTATGTAAATAGATTTTGTGTAAAAAAAAAAACTTTGTGAAATAAAATCTTGTTGGTCTGATTGAAATCAATTTGATTCCAAACATAGGACAGCCATCTTTTTGTGGTGATCTAATCTGATCATTGTCTTGTAATGGAGCCTGCATGAATAGCCTAGCGTACCTTTAACTCCAGGTCCTACAAAATGTTATAACTAAAAAAAACAAGAACTGTCGTATTGATCTTGTTGATACATTTATGTTTTGCTGGTTGACTGGGATTGTGACTTAGTCCTGTGTTAACATACAGGCTAGTTACAAACATTTTTTAATTTTTTAAAAATTTCAATTGATTCCTCTAGTCTAGAGTGCCTGCATCATTATTTAGGTCAAGATCCAATGACAATGAAATGCAACATAAACATCAACATAACTAGATTTTAATTACTTAAAAAATGAATTAATACATAAAGCCATTTATAATGACATTACAAGTTTCCATTAATGCACTGAAAAGAAGAAAATAAATAGATTTTCTTTAAATTTAAATAATATATATAAATAAATAATAAAAAAAAAGCTGGGCTATATATATAAACAGTGCAGAAAAACTTGGGTCACTATAAGATCTGTTGGTGAAAAAATAGATTATAAATCTGTAATGTTTTTATCTTTTGTTTTTCAGTTCAGCAATGTGGGCTCTTCTAGTGTTGTCTGGCCTCCTAGGCACCACCTGGGTTGTGGGCGTCCTCACCCTTATTGATGACTCAGTGTACTTGCAGTACGTTTTCGTCGCTGTGAATAGTTCGCAGGTACTAGCATTCTCAATCATTTGCTTCTTGTTTTTGGTTTTTTCCTATAGTTCAGGCAGCTCTTTTAGATTTTCAATAAATCAAATTTTTTAGTTTCTTACAACTAAAAATCTATTTAGTTTCCTACAACTAAAAAACTATTTAGTTTCCTACAATTAAAAAACTATTTAGTTTCCTACAACTAAAAAACTATTTAGTTTCCTGCCACTAAAAACTATTTAGTTTCCTTTCCTAGAACTAAAAAACTATTTAGTTTCCTTTCCTACAACTAAAAAACTACTCAGTTTCCTTTCCTACAACTAAAAAACTATTTAGTTTCCTTTCCTACAACTAAAAAACTATTTAGTTTCCTTTCCTGCAACTAAAAAACTATTTAGTTTCCTTTCCTACAACTAAAAAAACTACTTAGTTTCCTACAGCTAAAAAACTAGTTTCATTTCCTACAATTAAAAAAACTATTCAGTTTCCTTTCCTACAACTAAAAAAACTATTTAGTTTCCTACAGCTAAAAAACTATTTAGTTTCCTTTCCTACAACTAAAAAACTATTTAGTTTCCTTTCCTACAACTAAAAAACTATTTAGTTTCCTTTCCTACAACTAAAAAACTATTCAGTTTCCTTTCCTACAACTAAAAAACTATTTAGTTTCCTACAACTAAAAAAACTATTTAGTTTCCTACAAGGCAAAGACTGCAACTCAGTGTGTAAGTGTTTATGCTAGCATAAAATAGAAACCTTGACAATATATTATGGTCCTACTGTTGATGGTGTTGTAATGAATGCATTAGACACAAAGCCAGAGCTTCCATACTTACAGATCTGGTCTACAGTTGTATTTAATAAACTTACACAGTCAACCTAGACCCTAAATCTGTACCTATACCTAGCCTGTACCTGTATGTGGACCTAGATGTATACATACAGATAAAAAAGTAAATTACCTTTTAAACCTGACGGTCTGTAGGTCAAGTGAAGTAGCGTTCACTTGTTTCTGTGACCTTGGCATATGAAGAGATAGTGTGATCAGCACTATGCCCAGCCGCCTTTACTTTCCTTAATGTGAGTTAGGTACCCATCAGAGTTGGGTGGACTCAGGGATTGTCTAATGACTTGAACCCTGATTTGAACTCGAGACTTACGGGTTAGCAATCCATCTCTCTACTGCCAGACCACTCCATCTCACACATACAGATAAGCATACCATTATTTTTATTATCCTCAGGGTCTCTTCATACTTTGCTTCCAGTGTCTTGGACAAGAACAGGTACTTTACTTTCTTCTTATGTTTGACTGAGGAAATTTTTGTTTTAAATTGAATTTGTTAATTTAAACTATTACAAACTTATATATCAACACAAAAATGTTTACCTAAAGCTGTTTAATGAACACAAACAAAACTGTTATAACATTTAAGAGCAAAATGTAGGACTAAGTCTTAATTTTATGTACAAACAGAAATGTTAATGTTCACTGTTAACCCTTTGAGGACCAAGGGACATGTTTGTCCCATAATTTCAAATAGACACCATACGAAATTGAATAAAACATTTATTATATCATAGACTTAAGAGAAATAATTCTGGACTCAGAATATATAAAATAGCTTTGTTGCCATAATTATGGGAACTTTCCGTTTTTAGACCACTTTCTAAGCTAAAGTTTAAATTTATATATAAAAAATACTGAGTGATACTGAGAGTAATGACTGGTGGGTTTTCAAAAGTTTACTGTTTATGTATTAAATTTACATGTGTTTTTTGTAATAGTTGTGCTTGTTTTTGAAAAAAGTATTTTTTGTGTGCTAGGGACATGTATGTCCCTAGTGTCTGGAAGGGAGCTAACTTTTTTTATAGATATTGCTAATCATGTGTTTTAACAGAATAAAAATAGTCTCAGAGCCTTTATTTACTATCACTAAACAAAAGATTGAGCTAATACTGTTTATAGACAAAAATGACAATTAAAACAACTTGCTTCTTGATGAAAAAGGTATGAATTTTATTTGGAAGTTATTATGGAACGACCTACTCCAGTCTCAGCATAGATTATCACCATTACAATAGGGCATACTTCTTTTTCCTGTCAATGTTCCCTCTAAGCAGTGGTGTTGAACCTGCCGCCCAGTCATCTTGTAAAATAACATAATACTTTTAGAGCACAGCACACACAAAATGCAAGATGCATACTAGCTTTTCCCCCTTAAGAGTGAGCATATAATAGTGACATAAAACTCTCAAATAGAGGAAACCTGACACGTATCTTCAGTAGAACCTGATTTGTCCAAAACACAACCATCAAACGTCCTTAAGAGGTTTGAAAAAAAGGAGACCAGAGCTAGATATTGGTTTTGACTAGAGACATCAGAAAACATAATTTCAAATAAATATTTTTGACGAGTCTGGGAAAATAACAATAGTTGTTGATTGTAATGAAGATCCCAATGCTTTTTCGGCATTTTAAAACCCTTTTATTTTGAGTGCTTGGTACACCTGATTGTCAATGCTAGTGAACTGTACATGAAACAGAAGAAGACTCCCTTCCCAACTGACTAGCAAGAAACCTGTGAATTTATAGGAATGAAATTAGTGAAGGGACATCTTAAGCTTCCAACCTTGAGACTACTGGTCCACTGAACCTGATCTCCAGGTGTCATACATACGTTGCTTATGTGATGCCAAGATATAACTTTAAAAAGTGTATTTATAAGTAAATGAGAAATGAATGCAATCATGGGTACAATGAAATAACTCAGCTTCAATACAGACAAATGATTTGGGATTACATGAAAGAAATATCACCTCAAGAATTGTTCTTAGCAACAAGAAGTTGACTTCAAAACTACAACCTGAACACAAGTTGATAACTTCAAACCCACAACCTGAACACAAGTTGATAACTTCAAACCCACAACCTGAACACAAGTTGATAACTTCAAACCCACAACCTTAACACAAGTTGATAACTTCAAACCCACAACCTTAACACAAGTTGATAACTTCAAACCCACAACCTTAACACATGTTGATAACTCAAAATAAAAATATGCATGTGGTGTGTGCAAGAGAAGAGAATGAGAACAGAATGGACAATATATATATGATGTCTGCCATGTTCATGTGTGTTACTTAACATCACATAACTGCTTCTAGAAGCTCTATTAGTAGATGACTTTACACCCATAAATGTCAACAGTGTGTTATCATTACTCATATTTTCCATTTCTAATGTACCAGAGCAACCATTAACGTTTAAACACTTTTGAAATAAAAATATTGATATAAATCATACTTTAATCATTGATAATGTTTCCCTTCCCGACCATAGGGACATGTATGTCCCATGCTGTATCTCAAAAACTATTAAAGATATCGGCAAAACGTTAACAGTTTTGAATTCTACGTGTCATTTTACTACTAAATGTGTGCTGAGTTATATAACATTATGTATGGAAGGGTTTAACGTATTCTAGAAACTATAAATTCTATTTTTTTATTTTAACTGATGTTGCTTTTTCTCAAAATTCTAGGTTCGGGAAGCACTCAGGAACTTATGGAGAAGGCATACTTCATTTTGTGGTGCCAATTGAGGATAAAATTAATGCCACTTTAACTATATATTCTGGTGTAGTAAGAAGTCACCCTGCAAAACAAAAAGTGTGAACTATCAAGTTTATAATATAATTTAAATTGTTTTTAAAAAGCTCAAAGTTTTAACTGTCAAGATAATTATTTTACTAAAATGGTAAACCAAAAGTTTAAAATTAATTATATAATGTAAGAAATCACTTTATTTTTTGGCGACTACTAAATTAGTATATCAGGTGCATTCAAGTATTATTAAAATACTACTAAATTAATTTTATTTGCCTAATAAAAATAAAATTTTCCTTAACATTTTTCCTTATTATTGTGTAAGTAATTGAATTAAAATGAAATAATATTTGATTTAGAATAACAACAAAACAAAAGAAAATGAAAAAACTTCAAATTTTTAGAAAGATTTTTTTGGATTTGAATCTTTTTAATTCTAAAGAATGAATAAATGCAAAGAAGTTAGCAGTCAAGCCTGTTTTTTTAATCAAGCCTGTTTATTTTTGTATCAAGCCTGTTTATTTTTGTATCAAGTCTGTTTATTTTTGTATCAAGCTTGTTTCTTTAAAACTCTCTTCTATATCTTTGATGATGCCCTGGGTGGTAGAGTGGGAGAGAGAATCTCATTTGTAAAATGTTTTGCTTGCCACTTGTTGTGGTCCATATGAACATTGTAACCCTGACAGTCTAGCAGGTAAACTCATTGAAAGAATGTTGTCTTTTATGCTTTCAGGGTAATTAAACCAGTTGAATTTTTTTAACTTCAGTAGTTTCCCCTTTGTTAAGTCAAACACTTTTAGCTAGGAGTGAGTCATATCCACCTTCTAATAGATCTAAACCTAGACACATTAAGTCAGACTGCAAAGAGTTTACACAATTTAAGTGTGTCTTCCTGTTTCTCTTACTATTAAAAAGAAAAATAATTTGGTTGTGCTTACTGTTTTCTTTAGAAATTACTTTAAAAATTTTTTATGACGAACAGCAATCATGTTATACACTGTAGATAGTCAATAAAAATCTTCTCCCCATGCTTTCATTTATATATGTACAGCAGCCTATATTACAACAAACTTGACCTGTTTTATTGTTTACAGTACTTTTGAGCTGTTTTATATAAACAATTTAGTAAACAATGATTAAATATTTTTAAATCTGAGCTAGCTTTTTGTTAGTAGAATCATTCAGAAATATGAATTTTCTCAACTTTGGAAATTTCTGGGTTTTTTTTTTTTTTTTCAGAATAGTCATTTTCAGCCAGAATTCTCCACTAAAATTTCTAGTTGTATATTAAACAGAAATTTTAAAAAATTGGAATAAAGTATTTTAAAATTTTGTCACTCTATAAAGGAAATATATTATACGTCTGATTTTTTACCATTAATTTTGCTTACCTGGTAGATTAAGTACAATCTATCCACCAGTATTTTAAAATTCACTCACTGTTTTTAAATCTTCTCCCTGTACCATTACCCATTGCTTTCCATTTAATTTCGGAACCTCAAATTTATTTGAAACCCTTGCAATAAAATAACTTTTCTATCAGGATTAGACTAGCCATTTGTTTACTGTTGAAGGCTTACATTAGAGAAGTATAGCTACCTTGTCCATCTTTAAAAATAGAAGACTTTAACATTATAGAAACCAAGAGTGTGATTAGATCATTGCAGATTCAATTAGTTTAATGTTGAAAACAAATATTTTTAGTATTGTATAATGGTAAAATGAAAAAAAAATAAATGACAATTTAATAATTTTCAGAGTAAAAGAAACATCTTTAAGAATTTAGATATATTAAACTATTAATTATTACATTAGCGGCAATTAGTGGCGTGAGATGTCTCTATTAAGAATTATTAGAGCAGCATAAAGTATATTGAATCAGGTCAAAAAAAATATTTTACATTTTTCCCCCGTAGTCCAGTGATATTCCTAATAACAGTTTAAAATTGTATAATCATTTATGATTAGAAATTTTTAAAAAATCTTTTTTTGTGTAACACTTAGTATTATCAAGCATGAATACATTTTTGTGAAAGCAGTATTTTTAAAATTATTTAATTGGTGTTTTACCCAACAATTTACTTGTAAATATTAATGTAATATACTTCCAGTCATAATTGTACATGGATCGTCCATAAATAACATCACCTTTTTTTGACGATTTTTATCTTCTCCTCCCGTCCCCACTGTCATGTCAAAAAAAACTCAACCCCTTACCTAAAATGACAAAACACCTGCAGTTTTATTTTTGTGAAACAATTTATTTCTAAAATATTTTCGGAGTGAGGTTAACATGAAATATATTAATCGATTTCTATTGTAATTTCCTCAAACAGTTTTCTAAGACCCAAAATAACAGTTAACATTCTCAAATTAATACTTAGGATGATAAATAGACAGGAGAGATAACTGATAAAATATTGTTATTCTTAAAACTTTGTGTTGTCTAATACCACATCATTTGTACATTACAGCAACTCTTGTTTTTTTATTTCTCTGCCGGGTTACACTCACTTTCAAATAAACCTTCAGTATATTTCTGATATAACACCACTGTTTCTTTCTAAATTTCTTCAGCTTGTTTACAAAGTTGGGCTTCTCGTAAATATAAGAATAGTTTTACTTTTTTGTAACAATTATATAATATATACATATTTATATTCAGAAATTTAAAAAACCACTGAAGCACATTTTTTGCTAAAAGCCTAGTTTTATATTTATTAAATAAGAACATATTGTGTAATATTCAAACTACTACTGATTGTTTATTTTAAGCAAATGTGTTATCTGATATTTTACAATTTAATGTATTTTTAAATATTTAGTGTAATCTGCTTTTTATCATTATTATGTGAGGGTGATGGTGCTGGGATTTTTGGTCCGTTACAAGTCTTTGATGTAACAATGAAGCCACAACAGTCTAGCAGATTCAATCTTTAAAAGAATGTAGCATTGCATTTTATGCTCTCATGAGAATTGACCCTATCAAAACAAATGGAATTTATTTGGGTAGACTCCCTTCTGTTTGGTGAATCTTGCTACTTCTCTAGCAAAGGTAAATATTTTGAGATTGTCATAGCCCTCTGCTACTTATGCCATTTTGGTAAGGCTCCCAAAAATTATACTACGTAAGTTAACCTCACTGTTTTCTTAAAATATCAAAATACTATCTAATATCTTTTTTTTTTCAGAAATAAATTTGTATTTTAACCATAGACAGGAGAGATAACTCAAAATAATTTGTCCCTATGACTTTTCTTTTATTGGATACCACTATATATAAATACATTACTTACAGCAACTCTTGTTTTGTTTGCACAAACTTTCCAATAAACATTTTCAAGAATTTTTCTATTTGATTTAATACAACGAAGTCCTCTAGCTCCATTACAAAGTTGGGTTTGACAGGTACTCATTAATCGTAAATTAATGTTACTGGGCATTTACCTTTTTTCAGTTGTATAAACTAACATTTATATTCATTTATATCCAATTGTCTGTTAACACTTTTAATATTCTTTTGATTGTTCATGTATAGAAATTTTTATAAATTATGGTAAAAAAATTTTTTTGCTAATGTTAGTAATATCCTTTTATTTTTATTAAGTATGAACATATTTTATGATATTCAAAGTCCTAATTGTTTATTTCAAGCAATGTGTTTATCTGCTATTTTACAATACAATGTATTTATAATATTTTGTGTATTCTGCTTTTGATCATTATTGTGTGAGGGTTATTGTGTGGGGTTTTATTTAAATTACTGCTTTATTTTAGAACCTACATTCCAGTGTGCTATAGAAATGTACTTTTTAACCCTATCAAAACAATGGAATTTATTTGGGTAGTCTCCCTTATGTTTAGTCAATCTTGCTACTTCTCTAGCTAAGCTAAATATTTTGAGATTGTTTTAGCCCTCTTCTACTTATGTCTGTCCATTGGTCAGGCTTCCAAAAATTACACTACATAAATTAGCCTCACTTCTTAAAATATCAAAATACTATCAAATACCCTTTTTTTTCAGAAATAAATGTGTAGATTAACCAGATAGACAGGAGAGATAACTCAAAATGTTTTTTTCCCTACTTTATTTTTTACTAGATACCACTTCTTACATTCATTACTTACAGCAACTCTTGTTTTGTTTGACTGTATAGAGTTGCACAAACTTTCCAAAAAACTTTTTCAAGTATTTTTCTGTCTTATTTAATACAATATAATAATCTATTACATTTATATTCAGGAAATCTGAAAAAAAACTGCCATACCCAATTGTTGGCTAACACTTTTCAATATACTTTTGATTTTTTAAGTAAAGTATGAGTTTATATTGTATTTCACCAAATACTGTTTTTTAAATACTTATCAGGGTTATTATTGTGTAGGGTTTTATTTTAAGTATTGTTTTATTTTAGAACCTACATTTCAGTGTGATATAAAAATGTACTTCTTTTAAAAAGAAATGTATTAAATTTTTACTTTATTTTAGAACCTACATTCCAGTGTGATATATGAATGCACTACTTTTAAAAGAAATTGTATTAAATTACTATTCTATTTTAGAACCTACATTCTAATGTGATATATGAATGTACTACTTTTAAAGAAATTGTATTCAATTCCTACTTTATTTTAGAACCTACATTCCAGTGTGATATATGAATGTACTACTTTTAAAGAAATGTATTAAATTTTTACTTTATTTTAGAACCTACATTCCAATGTGATATATAAATGTACTACTTTTAAAGAAATTGTATTAAATTACTATTCTATGTTAGAACCTACTTTCCAATGTGATATATGAATGTACCACTTTTAAAAGAAATTTTATTTGCATCATCAGTTAACCGAGTATATGTCTACACCATGTACTACTAGGTTAACTATGTAAATATTTTACTTGTTATAAAATTATTTATAAAACAGTTCCACCATCCATAACCTGTCCAGGCAGCATCCATATCCATCTTGTTGTATCAAACAAGACCTCATGTTTTATCTCTCAATTAAACACTTCCACTGCTGAATGTAAGGTTTTTTTTTTTTTACTTTTGCATTTTATGTACATAGCTTAATTTAATTTATAAACGGCTTTTAAGTGCAATAATTATTTATTAAAAATGTGATATATATTTTTCTATTTGAAAAAAAAAAGTCAGTTTTTGTTTTCTCTACCCCCCTTCCCCCCTTTCCAATTTGCTGATTATATATTATATAATTTTTGGAAACTATCCATCATACAATAATTTATATTAAACAAAAACAGTGCATTGAGAAGTGTAATGTATGCAGCAGAATATTATTTTACAATGTATTTACCATTCCCACTTCATTTGTATTTATTTTCTTGCAAATTAAGATGCTGCTTAAGAGTGTTTAAAATGTAGTTATTAACAAGTGATTTAGAAGTTACTGAACAAAAAGGGGTGAAATATTAGCATCAATGGGCCCAGTGGTAGTAATTAACTTAGAAAAAAGATGGCCACTTGCATGACCACCAGTTATAAGAGAAGGCTAGAAACTTTGGGTTTTTTTTTTTTTTAATGGCATTGTTGATAATATTTTAAACTGTTGATAATATTTTAAACTGTTGATAATATTTTAAACCGTTGATAATATTTTAAACTGTTGATAATATTTTAAACTGTTAATAATATTTTAAACTGCTGATAATATTTTTAACTGTTGATGATATTTTAAACTGTTGATGATATTTTTTATAAATAAAAAATTATTGCACAATCAGTTTGCTTGCAACTTTACTTTCTGTGTTTGCTACATGTTTTCCTATTAGGGCATCATTCAAAAATGACATCAGCCAGACCCCCCCCCCTCCTTCCCACCCTTTCTTATAAGTTATATTGCTCACCACAATTCATGACAACCCCCCCCCCCAATATACTATAACACAGTTAATACAGTTTAAATCAAATGGATAATCTGGCTGGTCCTTGTACTGCCTCTCACGACTTCAGCTCACATACTTCAGCTGATACACATTGATACCCAGAGTTTAACCTAACTTTTTAATAAAGCTGATTTACATTGATACCCAGAGTTTAACCTAACTTTTTAATAAAGCTGATATACATTGATACCCAGAGTTTAATCTAACTTTTTAATAAAGCTGATATACATTGATACCCAGAATTTGACCTAACTTTTTAATAAAGCTGATATGCATTGATAGTTTGATACCATGAGTTTGACGTAACAGTTTAATAAAGCTGATCATGCCTCCTTAAACAACTATTATAAGCTTGTAGGAAAACTGAATACATAGATCCACATGTTGATTTTTTAAAAACCAGCTCAATGTGTATATCAAGGATGGTTTTTATTCTTACACTTCATCTTACACTTCATCCATATCATTAGAGGTCTCGTAACCAGGGGCGTAGCGAGGGGGGGCGGGGGGTGCGGACCGCACTGGGTGACACCATTTAGGGGGGTGACACCAAGGCAAAAAATAGCAAAATATATAGAGAAAAACTTGAGAGGGGGGGGGTGCAAATCGAAAACTTGAGAGGGGGGGGGTGCAAATCGAAAGTTTGAAGGTGGGTGCAAATCGAAAACTTGAAAGTTTGTCCCCGGGAAGGGTCGCTACGCCTCTGGGGGGTGACACCATTAAGTGCCGCACCGGGTGACACCCGACCTCGCTACGCCACTGCTCGTAACTTCCCCTTCCGGACCCAATAGACCAACATTGACATCACACTTCAGTCTACCACCTCTTTCAATACTGTATTTAAAAATACAAACATACTTTTTCTAAAATATTTAGACAGCTGAGTGTCAGCCTAGATTGATTAATTTTTATTGAAATTTACACAAAAACTCTTTTACCAACGTGAAGTAACAGTTCTATTCAATTTCTTATGTCATTGCTAAAGTTTGTCGTCACACTTTCTAAAATACTCCTCCACTAGTCTCACATTTCACACGAGTCCAAACCACTAGAGTGTAACGTCATTTATGGACGACACCAAATAAAAATTGAACCCTTTGGTAGTCGAGCGACAAAATAAACAGAAATAGACTTTACGTTTATGAAGCCGAGGAAACCTTTTTGATTCATTAAGCTTAACAATACTAATATTCGTTATTAAAATACATTTAACGAGTACAGAAGTATACTAGAACTTTTTCCATACACACCCAAAGTGTATGATAATTTGCAGAGTTTTTAGTAGGTAATGGGAAAATCATTTAAATAAATACTTTGGCTCTTAATGGGAATCAGTAGAGAGTGTGACGTTTCTTAAAAATTCTTCTGGAACTTGGTCAAACTGGAAGAAGGCGTTGCCCCACGTGAAAGTAGCGAAAACAAGAATCGGCACACAAATAATGTTGAGGAACAAACCGCTGGTCACCTTGAAGAGAAAAAATATATTAGCTTGTTAGTTAAATGATAAAATAACTCATTGTATTTCAATCTTTGTGTTACACTTTTCGCAGTGTAACACGAGTTTACAACCAGAAAGCAATTAACATCAAACTGTAGTTAACATTTAAACCAAAGCCTTAAAAGATGAAGCCATTACCATGTCTATAACACGGACAGACCCACTAGCGATGACAATGGCGTTGGGTGGGGTTGCCACTGGCAACATGAAGGCGAATGACGTAGCAATGGTAGCAGGAAACATGAAAAATAGAGGATTCATCCGGAGGATAACAGACTGGGGAAAAAAGAAACGGAACAAGTAGAGAATACATTTGGAAGATTTTAGAATATCGATACTTTACACTGAGTTCAAATCAGCTTTGGGGATTTCAGTACATTTCAAATGTGATTGTCCAGCAATCAGAGTTTCTTCCAGGCCTCTCTTCTGGGGGGGGGGGGGAGGGGAATAGCCCCCCCCCCCCCAAACAAAGTCTACCACCACCCCCCCCCCCCTCGAACGAAATGGAATTTATATAGAAAATATATACTTTTAATAGTGTCCGCCCCCCCCCCCCCGAGAATTTTAGTCCACCCCCCAGCCGAAAATTTAATGTGCCCCCCCCCCCCCCCGGACGGAGAAAATAGTCTGGAAGAAACACTGCCAGCATTGTGTTTCTGTTCGCTCTATGTCAGGAAGAGTTTCTCTCAGGCAAAACTATCCCCCCCCCCTAATCCCCTGACGAAATGAAAACCAATAATTTATATATAATTTATTTAGAAAATACAGACTTTGATCACCGACGACCGCCCCCTCTCCCTTGATTTTAAAGAAACGTTTTAGGTGTCCCCACCGAGAAAGATGTCTGAAAACATCCTGATGTCAAGTTTTTTGTGTCTTATTTCAGCAAAATGTTCTTTGTTTTCTAAATCAAAGCTAATCAGAAGATTGCTTTTGTTTACGTATCATCCAATATTGTGTAAAACTCTTCATTTAGTATGTCATGGCAGTTCTAGTTAAAATAAACGTCTTGGTTTTATTGAAAACTAAATAATGTTAACCATGGGTTACTTGTGAGGGGGTATAATTTACGATTTATTTGGTTGCGGCCCCTGTGAGACCGCACCTGTTGATGTTATTTTTTATGGTCTCCGGTTAGCATTGTTGACCCATGTTTCCCATGCCATGTGACCTCTGGGTAGTTGCGCCTTAATACGGTTCCATGACAAATGATCTCAGGACAAATGGTCTCAGACAAAATATATAATTTGTCCTGATATATTTTGTCCTGGTATCTTTTGTCCGTGAGATCATTTGTCCTTGAGATCATTAGTCCGTGAGATATTTTGTCTGAGATATTTTGTCTGAGATCATTTGTACTGTCACCCTTAATACTTACCATTTGTAAAAGTATGGGCACCATTAGCTAACCTTAATACTTACCATTTGAAAAAGTATGAGAACCATTAGCTAACCTTAATACTTACCATTTGAAAAAGTATGAGAACCATTAGCTAACCTTAATACTTACCATTTGTAAAAGTATGGGCACCATTAGCTTACTTTAACACGTACCATTTGTAAAAGTATGGGCACCATTAGCTTACTTTAACACGTACCATTTGTAAAAGTATGGGCACCATTAGCTTACTTTAACACGTACCATTTGTAAAAGTATGGGCACCATTAGCTTACTTTAACACTTACCATTTGTAAAAGTATGGGCACCATTAGCTTACTTTAACACGTACCATTTGTAAAAGTATGGGCACCATTAGCTTACTTTAACACGTACCATTTGTAAAAGTATGGGCACCATTAGCTAACCTTAACACTTACCATTTGTAAAAGTATGGGCATCAATAAATTAGCGATGGTGATGTTGCTGGTGACCTCAGTGGCAAAACACACGACGTAGGAGACGGCAAGCAGGACAACCCACTGGTTGAGTGACTGGAAGAATATCAGCTGGTCACCCAACCATCTGGACAACCCGGACACCTGGGGAATAAAGACCAGTTTTAAAAGTCGGAAATATTGTTGACCTGTATGTTTGTCTTTTTAAAACATTTATTTCTGCTTCACTAGTCAGGAACAAAAATAGATCAGAGTGAACTAGAACTGATGCCTTGTATTTTTTTTGGGGTGGACAAAGGCTATTGAAGGAAATCCAAAAAGAAACGCATCCTGAAATCGAAGTCAACGTCCTATATGGCGAAGAACAAGTTGACACGTATACTTAATTGTGTTGGAGGGGATCTCTTCCAACACTAAAAATTACTAGAAAACAACTCCAGTCCAGTGTTTGTTTCAGAAATTTTTCTCCACGAGGAAAGGGGAGGGGGGGGGGGTTGAAACTCTAGCGAGGGGCGGACTTCGTTTCATGCGAGGGGGAGGGGGCGGATTGGTTAATATATAACTTTTCTATATAATTTTTTTGGGGGTGGTGGATGTGCATCTGGAAATAGAGTGTAGTACACTGTAAGAAATTCTACTACAGTAGTCAAGGTTTTTAGTGCTTAAGAATTTAGAAAAAATGTTTGGGATTTTGTGGGGTAAGGTGATATTCGATATTAATGTAAGGTAAAATAATTTGGGTAGCTTAAAAAATTTTTTGTTGCACGTTTGTTTAGGGATATTTTTAAATAAATGTAGATTATTTATTTAAACAAATTTCAAAACTTCTTTCTTTGGACGAAATATTTTAATAAAAGTCCTTTTAATATTTTATTTTATTTTAAAAATCCTTTCCTTGTATTGATGAATTATTTTTTCTTAAGAAACATTATTTTTTACACGTTTCTCATCTAATTATATTTATTAAATATTAATACTGTTGATACTGTTGATACATTTGTTGAGACTGTATAACAAAATCAGACAAAGAAACTACCGTAGCTGCCTTGGAAATGGCGTAGCCACCTCCAAGTAACAGAAGCAACGACCAGTGCATTTTTTCTTGGACTTGGTTCCAACTTATCAGGGGCCTCAACTTTTTGTACGGGGCTGAAAGATAAGACAGTAATAAATTAGTTTTAAGTTGGCGAAGAAATGTTATGGAAGGTGAGTAAATCCTGATTTTCGTACGGGACTGAAAGATAAGAAAGTAATACATTAGTTTTAAGTTGGTGAAGTCAGGTCAGGGAAGACTAGTAACAGGAGACATGAAGCAGAAGTACCTTATGTACAAAAGAAAATTGTTTTAAAAAGTGCCCTATGTTGGAAAAGTACAAAATGAATAAGCACTATAAGAGAAAATTACATATTATAAAAGTACACAATAACAAAAAGATGCACTTTCTGTGATATGTACTATACTGTAGTTTACTTCATTAAACAAAATCAATTTGATTCCATTTATAAAAGTAATTAAGTTAGAAACAAGGTAATTAAAAAGTCTAGTGACAATTTTAGCGCAATTTCCTTATGTTATCTAAAAATAGCTCTGTCGTAGCGTAAATCAAGAGCAGGGTTAGTAAAACCATTGGTTAGTTATTAAAACGTTTTTTATTTTTAAAAAATTCAGTATTTTACATGTTTTATTTACAACGAGCCGACCCGCGGCATATCATACGCCGCTATTTAGTTTTTTTTTCTACTTTTCAGTAATTTATAATTTGTGAATTCGACAGTACCAATGCTGCCACTGAAAATATTTGCTTAAAAACACTAAACCCCCCTTCCCCCCCCCCCCCCCACGTGAAAGCAGACTCCTCTTAGTTACCTCCTCTAAGTTTAAAATCGTTTCAAACTAAATTATCTGCCCCTAATAGCCGTCACCAAACCCGTCTCTATGATTGTAAAATATAAACAGCGTGACCACAGCTCACCAGACAATATGGGGGTGGGGTGGGGGTGGTAGTGATAGTGATAGAGAGAAAGAGAGGGGACTGCAAGGAGGCGCTTGCAGCTTGTTTTCTAACGGCTCCCAGAAGAGAATTATATAAATAGATAGATAGAGTTACATGACTAAAAACCATTGCGCGCCTAGCTACCGAACGTGATGTCGCAGCCATTGAACGTGATGGCGCAGCAATTGAACGTGATGACGCGTGTGGTGTGGTTGGATAAAAATGCCTACTAAATCGGTCCAAATTTTAATTAATTAAAAAAAAAATTTGTGACCGAACGAAAAGATATTTTTGAAAACTTTCTTCGGCAATATTGTTCTAAATTATGGCAGGAATCGATTGGTACATGTTTCAAGTCGCTAAGTGGTCTGGTTGTTGAGATATGGGCCAAAACCTGCATTATTTTCGAGGTTTTTTTGCTTTGCCGGGAAATCCATGAAAGAAACCCGGAATGTTTTGGCCTATGTTCATCCTCGTAACTTGCTTAACATAATTGCTTTGGAACTAGTCCTCGATATTGCTTCGTTGAGGAGGAGATACGACTTAAAGCTGCGGACACACATACATCCATACATTCATTTATCCATCCATTCCCAGAAATGACGAGTTAATAAACGCAATTCTCCAGAATGGAAATTGCGCTAAAAAAGTATTAAGTGGCATACCTGCCCCGCCATTCCTGGAGAAAATTCTTGGAAGTGATGACGGCAATACAAACATTAAAGTGCCGAAAAATACGAAGGGTGTGGCATCCGTTAGGCTGAAAGAAATATAATGTTCACATTTAGATTAGCGTAAATTTATCGTCTTTTATATACTTTTGTACTGTTTCTCTTGTACAAAGAAATTTCTAAAAGGGTTTTCAGATTACTGTAGACTGTAGACAAACGAAAATATAAAGGAATTGAATATTGGCAACTCTATAAAAAAAAAGTTAAAAACCAGAAGGTAGGGCATTACTGGTTGAACACAAAAACGGAATCTTCGGATGGAAATGTAAAAAAATGATGTAGTATTACGTAAGTTGAGAAAGAGATTAAAGAGCGATTTGTTTTAAGATGAAGAATACTTTCACAAATCAGATTTATTTGAGAACTTTTGGTTTTCTATCCTTACTTCACCACATAAAACAAGTACAAAGAGATGAGGCTCCAAGAGTCGTATTGCAGTTGTTGTTGATACATCTCTGTTGGCCAATAAGACACCATTAATGTCACATAAAACAAGTATAAAGAAACCAGGCTCCAAGATTCGTGTTGCGATTGTTGTTGACACCGCTCTTTTGACCACTACAAGACACCATCCATGTTTTAACCCTGACTAACCCAACTCACTACAAGACACCATCCATGTTTTAACCCTGTCTTACCCAACTCACTACAAGACACCATTCATATTTTAACCCTGTCTTACCCAGGGGGAAAAAACATTGCCCAGCCGCCAGTACTTCCAAGATCACGAGTGATCCAAGCAACCAGTAGCAATACAAACGTTATAGACACTGTGGCTTGTTCGTATCTGAAATGTAAAATGTTCAGTCAAATATTGTAAATAAATTTTCATCTGCTAAAGCTAAGGACATTACTGATTTACTCCAAAAAAAAAAAAAGAAAAAAATCCCTTCCTGGTTAATTTTTATAAAACCCGTTTACTTAATGTTAATCAATTTACCGGACACAATAAGATTGAAACGATTACCGAAAACTATCATTTCACCGCAAAAATTCAAGTAAAGTGAGATCTCACGTGATAGGTCCCAAGTTGTTGTACTCATCTCTGATCATGGCGTTGACCTTCTCCAGTTTTTTCTTGTTGGCTTCTGGAGCACAGCAACAACACAGACACCCTCCTCTGTACAGACACACAGGGGACAGTTGAGTTTGGTTAGATCTTTCAAATGTTTGTACTACAACAACACAGACACACAGGGGACAGTTTAGTTTGGTTAGATCTTTCAAATGTTTGTACTACAACAACACAGACACATAGGGGACAGTTTAGTTTTGTTAGATCTTTCACATGTTTGTACTACAACAACACAGACACACAGGGGACAGTTGAGTTTGGTTAGATCTTTCAAATGTTTGTACTACAACAACACAGACACACAGGGGACAGTTTAGTTTGGTTAGATCTTTCAAATGTTTGTACTACAACAACACAGACACACAGGGGACATTTGAGTTTGGTTAGATCTTTCACATGTTTGTACTACAACAACACAGACACACAGGGGACAGTTGAGTTTGGTTAGATCTTTCAAATGTTTGTACTACAACAACACAGACACACAGGGGACAGTTTAGTTTGGTTAGATCTTTCAAATGTTTGTACTACAACAACACAGACACACAGGGGACAGTTTAGTTTGGTTAGATCTTTCAAATGTTTGTACTACAACAACACAGACACACAAGGGACAGTTGAGTTTGGTTAGATCTTTCTAATGTTTGTACTACAACAACACAGACACACAAGGGACAGTTGAGTTTGGTTAGATCTTTCTAATGTTTGTACTACAACAACACAGACACACAGGGGACATTTGAGTTTGGTTAGATCTTTCACATGTTTGTACTACAACAACACAGGGGACAGTTTAGTTTGGTTAGATCTTTCAAATGTTTGTACTACAACAACACAGACACACAGGGGACATTTGAGTTTGGTTAGATCTTTTACATGTTTGTACTACAACAACACAGGGGACAGTTTAGTTTGGTTAGATCTTTCAAATGTTTGTACTACAACAACACAGACACACAGGGGACAGTTTAGTTTGGTTAGATCTTTCAAATGTTTGTACTACAACAACACAGACACACAAGGGACAGTTGAGTTTGGTTAGATCTTTCTAATGTTTGTACTACAACAACACAGACACACAGGGGACAGTTGAGTTTGGTTAGATCTTTCAAATGTTTGTACTACAACAACACAGACACACAGGGGACAGTTTAGTTTGGTTAGATCTTTCAAATGTTTGTACTACAACAACACAGGGGACAGTTTAGTTTGGTTAGATCTTTCAAATGTTTGTACTACAACAACACAGGGGACAGTTTAGTTTGGTTAGATCTTTCAAATGTTTGTATTACAACAACACAGACACACAGGGGACAGTTTAGTTTGGTTAGATCTTTCAAATGTTTATACTACAATAACACACACACATAGAGCAGGGGACAGTTTAGTTTGGTTAGATCTTTCAAATGTTTGTACTACAACAACACAGACACACAGGGGACATTTGAGTTTGGTTAGATCTTTCACATGTTTGTACTACAACAACACAGGGGACAGTTTAGTTTGGTTAGATCTTTCAAATGTTTGTACTACAACAACACAGACACACAGGGGACATTTGAGTTTGGTTAGATCTTTCACATGTTTGTACTACAACAACACAGGGGACAGTTTAGTTTGGTTAGATCTTTCAAATGTTTGTACTACAACAACACAGACACACAGGGGACAGTTTAGTTTGGTTAGATCTTTCAAATGTTTGTACTACAACAACACAGACACACAAGGGACAGTTGAGTTTGGTTAGATCTTTCTAATGTTTGTACTACAACAACACAGACACACAGGGGACAGTTTAGTTTGGTTAGATCTTTCAAATGTTTGTACTACAACAACACAGACACACAGGGGACAGTTTAGTTTGGTTAGATCTTTCAAATGTTTGTACTACAACAACACAGGGGACAGTTTAGTTTGGTTAGATCTTTCAAATGTTTGTACTACAACAACACAGGGGACAGTTTAGTTTGGTTAGATCTTTCAAATGTTTGTATTACAACAACACAGACACACAGGGGACAGTTTAGTTTGGTTAGATCTTTCAAATGTTTATACTACAATAACACACACACATAGAGCAGGGGACAGTTTAGTTTGGTTAGATCTTTCAAATGTTTGTACTACAACAACACAGACACACAGGGGACAGTTCAGTTTGGTTAGATCTTTCAAATGTTTGTACTACAAAAGTGCATTTAATAATCACGACATTTGTTACTTTTCAAAAATAAATGTTAACATATCTCAGGTTTACTGCAGTTCCCTCATGTCTCCTGTGGAACACACTAGCAAGGAACTCATTAGCAGAGAACTCACCCGCAGGGAACTCACTAACAGGGAACTCACTAACAGGGAACTCACTAACAGGGAACTCACCAGTGGAACTCACCAGTGGGGAACTCACCAGTGGGGAACTCACTGGTATTGGTATCGGTAACTTGATGACCTCGGCCCAAAGACCCACATAGGCTCAAGACAAATAAATACAAATAACTTTCTTAGTTTTATCACTTTTTTGTCTTCTATGGTAATTGACCCAAATTTAAACTTTAAAGGAAAGATATTTTAAATTATTTAATTATCGTTTAGGAGAATAGTAAAATAGAGAAGTGAAGTTAAATGCACACTATAATAAAGTAAAATAATAAACAATATCTCAGCAAACTAATTGAGACAACAGAACATTAAAAATCCAAAATAAAACTGAAATAAAATGCTAAATTAATGCTTCGATGTGGTGCTGAGAGAAACTATCTCTTTCAGACCAGATGGTCCGATAATTAGATGAAGTAGAGTTCAACTGTTTCTCTGAACTCGGCTTTACCTTCCCTGGCTTGATTCAGGTACGCATCAGAGCCGGGTAACTCGCAGAAGTGCAAGTGATGTCAGCCAGAGAACAAAACTCCAGCCTTTACGTGCAGTAAACTTGTACCAATAAAAATAAAACTAACGAAACTATGAAAGTAGGAGATTAACGCTCTATGTCTTCACCTTATGGATGCAGAATCGTGTGAGTCACGTGACGTTAAACTTACCTGCATCTGAGAAAAACAGCAACCATCCAGAGCCACATGATGAAGACAAGTATAAGAGACAGAGGCAGGCCATAGATAAGCCAGCTGCTGAATGTGATGGGAGACCTGAGGCCGACGTCTTCAAATACTCTGTAACGCCAAAAGAGAAACTCAGATCTTAAATTACTATGAATGGCAACCATGTCTCACCAGCCCAGTATAGAAAAATAAATGTGTTTTACATGTATTGTGTTGGGTTGTGTTTTGCTTTTTGTGGTGAGGTGCATTGTGTGTGTGTTGATTTGTGTTTCTTTGTTTCTGTGTTGTTTTATTATGTTATTTGTCGTATTGCACTAAGCACAATTTAGAGGCAAATGTATACGGTTAAAGCTATGGATTGCTGGGTGTTTTTGTCTTATCGTTAAAGTCAAAGTATGTTAAAGTCAGTATATTATATGCGTCTTTTTTTTGTGATTTTTTTAATGAGCATACTTTTCGTAAAACAGGCATATTTTTTTTATATAAGCTGTATAAATTAAAATGTAAGTTACTTTTGTGCGGCTCCATACAGTATTAAATTAGTTCCAGTGCCTGTCAGGCTGGCGATACCTCCGATGTTGGCCGAGTAGGCGATCGTCAGAGAGAGCGCCTTGCTCAGTCTAGAAAACTCGGCATCGGCTCTTTCTTTGTCTTTCCTGTAGAAACAAAACATGAATCTCGTCACTTTATGTGCAATGGTAATAGGGCTGGTAAGTAGGTCACCAACCAGTTCTATGGCTAATGCAGGCTTTATTGAGCCGTAGAACTGGTTGGTGACCTACTTACCAGCCCTATATACATGCAGCTCATTCTTATCCAAATAATTTACTAATTTAAAAATAGTTGAAAAATAATTAAATATTCAGTTTTAAAAGTAAAGGGTCACAACATAATCCTGAGTCCCTTTTTCGGTGTCCAGAGATAAAGCGACTGGGAACAATTTCCTAAAAATTGAAACTAATCAGTAAAGTTCAAGCCCATAGTCTATCGAACAAGTGAAGTAGATTCTCCTGTTTCTGTGACAGCGGCATATGATGGTATAGTGTGGTCAACACTAAAATATTGTACCGTTATTAAACTGTTTGAATTATAAACTTTATGTTTTCGAATAAAGTTTTTAAAGCAAAGAGCCATTCCAGATGTCTGCTCACTTGCTCAAGACCTCCTGACTGTTCATGTCCTTGAACTGCTGGAGCAAGGCCTGGACGATGGTCATCATCATGATTGTGGTGGCCGTGTTGGAGATCCACATGGACAGGAACCACGTGACCATGCACATACCAAACAGCAGGCTGGAACCAGATTTGGAAGGGGACAAACATTATGTACTCTCATCCGCTAGAGTAAATTTACAGATCACACTTAAAGATTATACTTAGAGTGTCTAGAGCATTTTCTCACCTTTTGGGCTCTGCACCGACTACCTTCAGTACCAGAAGAGCGATTCTTTTGTGAACGTTAAAAATTTCTATCGCTATGGCGACCATAAATCTGCCAATAAACATCATGAAGGTCTCCTGTTTTATTTAATATCCAAAAAAATTATAGCTGAAAAGTATCCATTATTAAACAATAATCTACTATAATTCTACCAACAAAATAACGATATAAAATCTAAATGCCGCAGATATACTATTCATATTATACCAAACATACACTACCAAAAGACCATCAAACCAAACATATACTACCAAAAGACCATCAAACCAAAGATATACTACAAAAAGACCATCAAATAAAATATAAACCACCAAAAGACCATTAAATCAAATATATACTACCAAAAGACCATCAAACAAAACATATACCACAAACAGACCATCAACGTACGTTGAAGTAAGCGGCTGACGTATCTTTGGCTGACATAACACCCAGCACAGGCAGGAGGACGACAGGTATCAGTGACGTCACAGCCACAGGCATGACCTCGGTTATCCAATATACGGCCATGACGGCTATAGTATAGCCGCATCTTGCTTGTTTTTGATACTGTGGGATGAAGTGTGGTAGAGAGATTGCGTGGTAAAGAGGGGTAGGGACAAAGATGTGAGGTTATGTGTATGACTGTTATATATATATATATATATATATATATATATATATATATATATATATATATATATATATATACAAAAAATCCATTTTTTACTTTCTCGTATATACGAAGTATAGAGAAAGTCTTGTAATCGTGCAAAATCGTACACCTCAATAATACGGAAAAACATAATTTTGCAATCTTGTCCGTATGTCTGTGTGTCTGTCTGTCTGTCTGTCTGTCTGTCTGTGTGGGTGTGTGTCCGTGTGTAAACACGATAACTTGAGTACCGTTACAGCTAGGTTGATGAAATTTCATATATAAGTATTTTATCAAAATCGTAGATCTGTATCAACTTTTGAGCGATTTCTGATAACCCGAAGTGGTACTTTTCCTACTTTGAATTTTTCAAAAGCCTATAACTTGAGTACTATTTGAGATAGATAAATGAAATTTCACATGTAAGTAAAAGATCTAATTCTCTACCGTCTGTTGAATTTTGAGTAATTTCCGTTGACCGAAAGTAGTAATTTACGCTACTTCCGATTTCTCAAAAAACGAATGTAAATTTTTAAAGTACTAATAATATTGCGCACTATTATGCACTTTTTTATTTGGCGTTCACTTGGTGTGCAATTAATTTGTCTACGAGATTTTATTCTATTTTTAAAACTTTAAGTATTTAAAATGGATTAAAAATCATGTCTATAGCCCGAGTTCCCATTCCCTGTTATTTTATATAAGAATATTCGAGAAAGTTTAGGGGAGATCACTCCCGGTTTATTTAATATAATATTATAAATAAAACTTTGTATGCTCTGTAAACTTATATTCCTGGCTAATCACCTTTTCATCGACCGAGAGAAATATGGGCAGCAAGACTAGGGGCGTGGCTACGATAACCACGAGGTACCACAAAGACAGAAGATGTTTGACCAATGAGATTTGTTCCACGTCAGATGCCGTCATGTCCACGTCATTTTCAATGTTGACGGCTGGTGGGGTCAGTCTGATGGTAAGAATGAGTTGTGTTACGTTTTAATTAATTAAAGCCAATCAATATTTGTCTTACCTAACTGAAGCTTCTGGTTTAAATTTAGACTTCATGAAAATAGAAATGAAGGTTTATGCGTAATTATATATATATATATATATATATATATATATATATATATATATATATATATATATATATATATATATATATATATAAATTAGACTTCATGAAAATAGAAATGTAGGTTTATGCGTAATTATATATATATATATATATATATATATATATATATATATATATATATATATATATATATATATATATATATATATATCGATGGTCTCGGTCGCAAACCGTCTAACTCCGAAAATGTAAATTTTGCAGGAGAGACAAAAAACTGATTATTTCCTTCTCGATAGCTCTAATACAAATTTTTTAAATGATATCTCCGAAGAAACTCTCTACCGACTATACTGTATCGTTTTAAGATGGGTTTTGTTGATATTTACAAAATTATAGCAGGTTTAAAAAGATGGACGGTTTGCTCGGTCTAAAATCCTCGGTGCAAACCGTCTATCTGTGCGCACGCAGACTTAGCTGTTTTGTGCCGAGAATTTCGGTCTCAGCCGCGTTCGTTCGTTTTGTCCAATGAACGTGATTTAGTTATGTTTATGTTTTTAAGTTATAATTAACACTTCATAATATTTAGATTATAGTTTTGGGCTCATATTTTAATTATTTGAGTTTATTCTACATTATGGGGTCAGTTTAATTTTTAGTAGAGATGTTTTAGTATGGCTTCATCGCTTCATTATAGAATGATAATAGTAAAAACAGAAACCTTATTGTCAGATATATTATAAATGAGACATAACACATTAATCACATTAATAATGACTTAATGTCTACTTATTTTACAAAAATGTAACACATAAAAATGTGTTTATTTTTAAAATTTATTCTTTGAATAAACGTCACATAAAGAAAAATTAAAATGGCAACATATTTTTAAAATCAGGGAAATCATCATAAAAAGGTGTGTTTATGACTTGCTTTTAGGTGCTCAAATATGACAGCTTTTTTTCTGCTCTTGTACAACTTGACAGGGGCTACAGATGAGATCATAATGTTACGACCCTAGCTTAGCAATTGCTAGCTATCTGCTAATTCACTTTGAAGTAGACAGTAGCATCAGGCTTGTACTGCAGTGCACGAATATCTGTCGCTTTGAATTCTTGATATGTCTGACTGGTCTTTTGAGATCGGCTGGTCTGTTGTATGGTAAGGCTGGTCTTTTTGAGAGAGGTTGGTGTCTAATCAGAGGCGTATCCAGGTTTTCGTTGTAGGGAGAGCGAAATGAGCAAAAAAGGCGCCGAATTTTTAACACGTTCTATATGCGTATATTATATATATTATATATATATATATATATATATATATATATATATATATATATATATATATATTATATATATATATTATATAATTGCTAGCTGTATGTCATTACTTCGCTATGATGTAAAATAAATTGTTATTAGCACTTGAAGAAATAAGAAAAAACACACAATGTAGGCCGACAAAACAAAAAATGTATCAATGTAAACAATATATATATATATATATATATATATATATATATATATATATATATATATATATACTACAACCAAAAACAATAAACGCAACAACGCAACACAATGTGTTTTCTAATTCTTGTAAAAAAAAAATTTTACATAATAATTCCTGGGACATTAATTAAGACAAGCGAAATAGGGGAAATAATCACGCTCTTAATATAAATATGTAAATATATCTACATATTTAATTATAAATGTCAAAACAAATCAATAATTACTTTAGAATTTAATATAGTCGTTTAACAGTATTCGTGTTTTTTTTGTCTACAATCAGAATTAAATATATTGTCATCGTCAATGCTAAAGTTTTACAGCAAAATGGACGTTTTTCAAATCAGAGTTGGTATAAAAACACGCTTTAGGTATTATAGAAAAACATCCGGAATAATAGCTTACATTTAACTAAATTATCGGTGTTTTAGTTCAGATTATTCATCTTTTAATTAACTACTGCTTTTTAAGTTTTTTAAAGATCATTTTTTAACATAGTGATCAGGTATGGGTTAGATCACTGTATTGATCACACACCTTTTTACTGGTAATTGCAAAATCCATATTTACAGAGTTTTACCTGATTCAAAAGCTATGATTCTGGCGGCATGGTACTTTGGTACATCGTTACGCGTTTTCACAAATGTACCTAACAGATCAGTTCGGGGTGGGTTGGAGGGGGGGGGGGAATATTCAACTTCATTCACCACTGTCCGGTCACTTTAGGTCAATTATTCAACCCAGTGTATACCTAGGTGTGACATTAATGTCGCTCTACACAATTGAGGTGGTGAGGTGTGTGTGTGTGTGGTGAACAGAGTGAACATAGCGTCAGTTTTTAGATGAATTGTTCTAAACATACATGTTCAATTACACATATATACTGATTCAGAAATAGATTTAAATAAGATGCAGTGGTATTATGACACTATTTTTTTACAGAGGGGTCCATGGGGGGAGGGTGGTTGTAACTGTTTCATATAATTTGTAATCGTAATCACTATAGCCCAAACTGTCATAATACTACTACTTCATCGTGATGACGTTGTTGACCTTGTCAAAATGTCACCACCACTACGTAGTTTGCCCATAAGTAAATTTAAATAGAGTTGCCACATCAGTTGTATTTGTGTCTGTATTGTATTTTTTTTTTTTAAATTAATTACACGATTAAAACTGTATATATAAAGTAATTATGTGTGAAGATTTATGTATAATATTTTCTAGATTATTCTTAAGCAAATACACAATACATTAACACCCCATCTTGCCAAGTGGTACTAAGAGGTTTTTTTAAAATTGCAATGCATCGTAATGGTTATTTTTAGAATGACAAACTTGATACAGCTGTTAATACGTGTTGTTAACGTAGACGCAACTAGAATAGTACAATTCTGCTTAATTGCTGCATGGAAAGAAATCTTGTGATTTACATAGATGTGCCGACCAAAAATAATTTTTTAACAAAATTCATTGTTTAAAAAGTTTCCAAAAAGGCGCCACTTTGCTGAAAATGGCCAGAGGGGGAGCGGCCGCTCCCCCTGCTCCCCCCCTGCGTACGCTACTGTGTCTAATGTCTGTTATGTGAGGCTGGTCTATTGTATGTTACGACTGATCTGTTGAGAAAGGCTGGTGTCTTGTATGGTAAGACTGGTGTGTTGAGAGAGGCTTGTCTATTGTAGGATGAGACTAATCTTTTGAAAGAGGCTGGTCTAATGTATGGTACGAATGGTCTGTTGAGAGAGGCTGGTATCTTGGAGGGTAAGATTGGTCATGTGAGAGAGATTGGTGTTTTGTATATTACGACTGGTCTGCTAAGAGATGCTGGTGCCTTTACGATTTGTCAGTTGACAGATGCTAGTGTCTTGTATGGTAAGACTGGTCTGTTGAGAGAGGCTGATATGTTGAGAGAGGCTGGTATGTTAAGAGAAGCTGATCTGTTAAGAGAGGCTGGTATGTTGAGAGAGGCTGGTCTGTTGAGAGAGGCTGGTCTGTTGACAGAGACTGATATGTTGAGAGAGGCTAGTCTTTTGAGAGAGGCTAATCTGTTGAGAGAGGCTGGTATGTCAAGAGGCTGGTCTGTTGAGAGAGGCTGATCTGTTAAGAGAGGCTAGTCTGTTGAGAGGCTGGTATGTCGAAAGGCTGGTCTGTTGAGAGAGGCTGATCTGTTAAGAGAGGCTGGTCTGTTGAGAGAGGCTGGACTGTTGAGAGAGGCTGATCTGTTGAGGGAGGCTGGTCTGTTAAGAGAGGCTGATCTGTTAAGAGAGGCTGGTCTGTTGAGAGAGGCTGGTCTGTCGAGTGAGGCTGGTATGTTGAGAGGCTGATATGTTGAGAGGCTGATATGTTGAGAGGCTGGTCTGTTGAGAGAGGCTGGTCTGCTATGTGGTAAGACTGGTGTGTTGAGAGAGGCTGGTATGTTGAGAGAATCTGGTCTGTTGAGATAGGCTGGTCTGTTATGTGGTAAGACTGGTGTGTTGAGAGAGGCTGGTATGTTGAGAGAATCTGGTCTGTTGAGAGAGGCTGGTCTGTTGAGAGGTTGGTCTTTTGAGAGAGGCTGATCGGTTGTGAGAGGCTGGTATGTTGAGAGAATCTGGTCTGCTGAGAGAGGCTGGTCTGTTGAGAGAGGCTGGTATGTTGAGAAAATCTGGTCTGTTGAGAGTGGCTGGTCTGTTATGTGGTAAGACTGGTGTGTTGAGAGAGGCTGGTATGATGAGAGAATCTGGTCTGTTGAGAGAGGCTGGTCTGTTATGTGGTAAGACTGGTGTGTTGAGAGAGGCTGGTATGTTGAGAGAATCTGGTCTGTTGAGAGAGGCTGGTCTGTTGAGAGAGGCTGGTATGTTGAGAGAATCTGGTCTGTTAGGAGAGGCTGGTCTGTTGAGAGAGGCTGGTCTGTTATGTGGTAAGACTGGTGTGTTGAGAGAGGCTGGCATGTTGAGAGAATCTGGTCTGTTGAGAGTGGCTGGTCTGTCGAGTGAGGCTGGCATGTTGAGAGAGGCTGGTGTGTTAAGAGAGGCTTGTCTTTTGGGAGAGGCTGGTGTGTTGAGATAGGCTTGTCTGTTGAAAAATTAATCATAAAAGCATTTACTAAAGACAACTAACCATGTCGTTGAACATGTACGCCAAACATTTTGTAACCTACCATATAAACATTTCTTAACACGTATCTAAACCCTCAATCTAAAGCTAGTAGTGAATTAACACTTATTAAATTTATTGCACATTCTTGTGGAAATATAATTCGAATTATAATGTTTTGATTGATATTTAGATTCTAGAATGAAGATCTAGTTTAAAAGCTTTGTGTTAGCCTTAAAAATGTAAACAAATCAGTTCGGTTATTGACAATCTGGAAATAGGCTATATTAAACAAATACTATTTGTTTATTATTCTTTAAAATGATAAAATGTAATAGAATAGCTGAACATAATTAATCAAATATCCTTACCTATAAGTATTGTGACTGCTGTGCTGTAAAATTGTGTGATTACGGCGTGCGACTGCGTCCCCGATCAAAAGTGTACTGACAAATAAAGCGATATTCGTTTTGCGCCGAATTTTTAGCGCTAGAAATAATAGGCGGTTTGTTCAAATGATTATATCTCAATAATCATCCTACAGATTTCTCTAATATTTTCAGGCATTATGGGGAATCATATTGGCTTTTGATTTATGTAAAAAAAAGAAAATATTATTTTTTTGAGTTATATATATATATATATTTTTTTTTTTTTTTTTTTTTTTAAACATAAAATTCATTAAATTTTCGCAGAGTTGAGTTTGATATTATTTTATTTTAGGTCTAACTTTGAAGACAAAATCACACAAACTCCTTTGATATCAACCCATTAAAAATCATCAGTCAATAATATAATTAAATATTTAAATTAAAAACGCTTACCTTGTTTCTTTTTTCTCAGCTGTGACGTCACATCCCGGAGAGCCCTGAGAATTTTTCTCCGCCATTGTTGCAGGGGAAAACACCGCGTTATTTCTGTCGTGTGAACCCAATGTCTCTGGGTCTGCACTTCGTGTTGTGTGAACTCAATCAAACTAGGCCCACACATACACTAATGTCACCAGTTTTTTATGTTTGAATCGTGTTCCCCATGAGAAAAAAATGAATTGTAAATGTACCGATTGCTGGGTGCTAATTGCGGAACGTGCAGAAGACAATGTAACTTGACATGAACTTCTTGCTCGCTGCGGTCGTTGATATGGTACCGTGGGCCGCGGATGCACTGCCGCTTACATTCATTTTTCATGGGTCATGTCCAAATGACGTCATTGCTGACGTCATTACAGTCATTGCCGTAAACATCACTAATGACGTTACAAAATACCAAGAAGAAGAAAATCTAGATATTGTTATTACTGTTGATCTTAAAGAAGACATCACTCTTTATTCCATTTTTTTTCTGTGGCAATAGAAGCCATGGAGGGGTTTGGCCTCCTTCACTCCTATGTTCTACACAAACTAGCCCGCTGTCCTTCAATCTAGGTGTGGGATCTAAGTACATCAGCAAGCCATCTCAGCCTTTAGACATCATGTCTGAACTCTAAAGCTGCCTTATTTATGTCTACACATCAGCAAGCTGTCTGAGCCTAGGTTTGCCTTTTTTGGGATTAGCCCTATGGGGTTCTAGTTATACACCCCTTTCATCCCTTCTGTTTGGTATTTTTTTTTAGTTAACCTAATCATCACAGTCTTCCTTTTTTTAAACCACTATTGTGGGATCTTGTACATGGCATATTTTGGGTGGTTCGATCACCTTTGACCTTACAGAAGCCATCAACATTAAATTAGGCTGTAGACACGATTGATGGGACACACCAGTGGCGTAGCGACCCTTCCCGGCGCCCGGGGACAAACTTTCAATTTGGCACCCCTCTCGGGATCAACCTTTCAATTTTCGATTTGCACCCCCCCCCCCCCTCGAGCCCCCCTCATATATTTTTTTATATTTATAAAGCAAAAATACAGCTAAAATAATATTTTAATTTGTTTTTCCAACCCATTTTGGCGCCCCCTAAGGTCGGCGCCCGGGGACATATGTACCCCCCTGCCCCCCCCCCCCACCCCCTTCGCTACGCCTCTGGGACACACACTACATAAACTAACAAAATAATATTCTCACACAAACATTAGTTTGAAATATTCAGATAAAGTAGGTAAGTCAAGCGAAAATTGGAAAAGATCAGTTGTCAGTGAAGCAGATGCAGCCAATGTCGTGGACTCAACTTGGAGGAATAGTCTAGTACCGAGGACAATGGAGAGGCGTGGTTGTGTGTATGCTCCACGAGTGGTCCACAGGAATGATGATTGTATAAACATCACTACAGACATCACTGAATGCATTACTTTATTATAAACATCATATTAGACATCACTTCAAACATCACGTTTACTATACATAACATGTATGCGTCTCAGCAAGTATTTATTTATATTTTTGTGTGTTTTAAATTACATTTTATTTATTTATTTTTAATTACCATTAATAAACTGGGTGTTCTTAAGTGTATTAGTTTCTTAATTACATTAATTAAAGTTGTACCATCGTTGTTTTAGATGTTTGTTAAGTTGTCATGGAATAATTTTGTTTCATTAATGGGTTTATATGGGTCGCGCCACTGGTGGCTTTCGGGAAATCGTCCGGCTACTGGCCCAAGAAAGACCCATGAGTGACCCCAGTGTGACCCATGTGAGCCCCAAGTATGACCCATGTGACCCCAAGAATAACCCATGTGTGACCCCAGCGAGACTTAAGTATGACTCAAGTGTGACCTACGTGACCCCCGTGTAATCCATTGGTAACGCAAGTATGATTCCAGTGTGACCCCAGTGTGACCCCAATGTGTAAACCAAGTGTGACCCAAGTAAGACCCAATTTTGAGTTCCCTACAGCTGAGTTTGATAAAGCTCAGAGAGAACATGAAACAATTACTGGAACAATATAAACACATGACTTGAGTAGGTTAACAACTTTATTTCATCAGCGATTTGTATCAACATAGTTAAAACAAGTGGTCATTTTAAAATGCTTACATGCTTACATCATTTACAGGCTCACAAACACACCCCCATATAAAATTATATATATATATATATATATATATATATATATATATATATATATATATATATATATATATATATATATATATATATATTGAAACATTCATGCTAGGCAGCGTTCTTCAAACAAAATCTCAGTAATTGAACCAGCAACAAAATGCTTAAAATTTGGAAGATATACTACATGGTATCCGGGGGAGCCAATTGTTTTTACTGTGAACCTAATTTTTGTGCGACATGGGTTACGTTTCTTAGAAATTCTTCAGGTACTTGGTCGAAATGGAAGTAGGCGTTACCCCACGTGGCTGTAGCAAAAACAAGAATCGGCACACAAATAATGTTGAGGAACAAACCATTCATGACCTGGGGAAAAGAAAGTTTAAAAAAATAATAAAAAAATATAAAATCGAGAGTAATTTGTCACATTGCGTCTAAAGATGATGAACGTGGCCCAGTGATAGAGCTTGTAAACCGTAACCAAAAGTCTCGTTCGGTTCTTTAGCTTAAGATCGAGGATATCCGTAAGTTGTATGAGCGGATGGGTTTTACTGAATCAACTGTGACCTACTTAGGTCCGGTAATGTTTATTTTTACATTTGTTACCTTACCATATATGGTCTGTGGTATAATCACTGGTTTTTTCCACTTTCTTAAGAAAGTCTTAGACTCAGTATTTTTCCATCATGAGATGATTGGTTGATGCGGACCAGGTGATACCCCAACCAATAGCCTTATGATTTGAAGGTGACCTTCCATGTTGCCTAAGTCTATAAATAGACCGCGCACAGGTCTCTCGGGGCAGTTCTTTGACCAGACGTCTTTGAGAGAGAATAAGCCCTCTGTGTCGCTGTGTAATACTAAGTTGTTTAAGTAGCATATTCTTATATTACTTGTGGTTAAGTAATTCTTTATGCTTATAGCAGTGATGTGTAAACTGTGGTGATTTTTCTGAAGTGTTAAAAGCTGTGATAGTGTATCATATTATTTTTTCCCACGAATTGTAAGTTGGGTTTTGTTCATTCTGTAAATCTATTTTATCCTGTTTAAATCTAGTGTTCTGTACACTCATTAAAAGTTATATGCAGATTAAATGTATTGTTGGCATAAGTAGTTTCTCTAGTGTTTCCCCTAGACATCAAGTACGAGTCCTAGTGAACTATTGTGTTAGCTTTCTTTTATTTAGGCTTGTCGCCATCTGTGTATAATAATTTAAACGAATCCGGGAGCGTTCGCCAACTATCTGGTTGATAGATTGGTGTCCGTTACACAACAGACAGCAGGAAATATGGAGAATTTACTGCCACTTCACATTCTGTTGTCACTGATATGTCATTAGAGATTGACAATTACTCATATGGTCAGTCTCAAAGTTTTAAAAAGGTAAAAATAAGTTACAGCAATAAGTCTTTAACGATGTTCACGTTAAGTCAATTCAAGCCAACATAATTCAAACAACGAACAAGTTATACTCTTACCATATCTATGACCCTTAGCGTTCCACTAGCGAAGACGATGGCGTTGGGTGGGGTTGCCACGGGCAACATGAAGGCGAATGACGTAGCAATGGCGGCAGGATACATGAAAAACAGAGGGTTGACTTGCAGGCTGATGGACTGTGAAGAATACAAAACGATTTTTGGTTCATACAAGTTAACTCTATAGATAAGACATTGTTTTTTTAAATTGTACGTATGATGTAGTGTTTTTCCGAAACCTATTTTCATGACACAATTGTAATCTGCTGAAAATGTTGTTATAATACACTATAACTTGCATACTATACACTGTGAACTTTAATTTGTGTACAAAATGTGTGTGTCTATTTTGTACATGATCATTTTAAACCATATTTGCACACTGCATTTATATATATATATATATATATATATATATATATATATATATATATATATATATATATATATATATATATATATATATATATATATATATATACATATACATATACATATACATATATATATATATATATATATATATATATATATATATATATATATATATATATATATATATACATATATATATATATATATATATATATATATATATATATATATATATATAGTAGCATTCGCTTATTTTCACTGACCATTTGTGTAAGTATGGGCATTATGAGAGTGGCTATAGCAGAGTTGCTGGTGACCTCAGTAGCGAAACACACGATGTAGGAGATGATGAGCAGGACAACCCACTGGTTGAGTGACTGGAACACCATCAGCTGCTCACCCATCCATTTGGACAACCCGGACACCTGTCAGATGACGTCATTCAAACCTTTACTTCATTAAATGTACGGGTTTTTTTTGTTTGAGTTGTCAACAATTGCAAAAAGTGCTGATAAGTGCATCATTTGTATGTATGTATGTATGTATGTATGTATTATATATATATATATATATATATATATATATATATATATATATATATATATATATATATATATAATCGATATAATATGTGGTTTAAGATACCGCGTTGGCCTAGAGTTATAGTACCAGTTATAGGTCCAGTTATAGTAACAGTTATAGTAACAGTTATAGTACCAGTTATAGTACCAATGCTAGTACCAATTCTAGTACCAGTTATAGTACCAGTGATATTAACATTTATAGTACCATTTCTAGTACCATTTATGTATCAGTTCTAGTACCATTTATAGTATCAGTTCTAGTACCAGTTCTAGTACCAGTTGTTCTAGTACCAGTTATAGTTACCGTGGCAGCCTTAGCAATGGCGAACCCCCCTCCCAGCAGTAGAAAGAGCGACCAGTGCATCTTCTCGTGGACCAGGCTCCACTTCAGCAGGGGCGTGACCTTTGTGTGGGTCACTGTAGGAAGAAAATAAACAATCAACATACAGGCTGTTAGTTGCCTTCCTTACATAGATTTTTTTGTATTGGTTAAATTGGCGGAACACAGACATACATACCACATTAAAAAATATAAATTAAAAGTTCAAAATGCAATTTTATTGTACTCAAATACACTCATGATTAAAACCACATCAATTAGGCCTACTATTAACGTAATAATTATAACTGTAATTGGAATAGTAGTTATCTAATTAGAAAATGCCAATTATAAATGGCTATAACACAATTTGGCACATTTATCTTACACAAAAGACATTTGTACAATTCCCCGCAACATCGTACACTTAAGTTGCGAGACTATAATGACACACTATGTTTCTTAGTTAAAGTTTGTTTCAACAATGATCTTTAGACAGGCGTATCAGAAAAATATAGTAAACCTAATGTAATTTTTAATTTCACGCTAATTTGCAATTATATAATTTCGTATTGACAGAAAATCTGTTTATTATAGATTAGATTAGACGATTCGTAAATTGTGAAATAATTGTGTAGACCTACTTGAACGATCTCTGTTTTTAAACATACTGAAGGTAGGTGGCGTAGATGGTAGCACAAACATCAGCATACCGAACAGGATGGACGGAGTTGAATCGCTTAGACTGGTGGGTGGGGCAGGGGGGTTCAAAATATATTTTTAAAATGTACATAATCGTTTTAATAGCATTTAAAATACAGATAAAACTCGCTGCGTTAAGACTAGGGTTAAGTTTTATTTCTCCATTGATAACCAGTTATATTATATGGCATGTTTTGTCCAGTATGGAAAACAAAGCTCACACACCAACATCATGCCTACCCCCTTCCCTCCCCCCCCCTCAATGTCCCCAACACGTCCCATCAACCCGTCTCCCCAGACTTACCCAGGAGGAAACCAGTCCGCCCAGCCCCCCCCCCCCCACATCAACCCGTCACCCCAGACTTACCCAGGAGGAAACCAGTCCGCCCAGCCCCCCCCCCCCACATCAACCCGTCTCCCCAGACTTACCCAGGAGGAAACCAGTACGCCCAGCCCCCCCCCCACATCAACCCGTCACCCCAGACTTACCCAGGAGGAAACCAGTCCGCCCAGCCCCCCCCCCCACATCAACCCGTCTCCCCAGACTTACCCAGGAGGAAACCAGTCCGCCCAGCCCCCCCCCCCCACATCAACCCGTCACCCCAGACTTACCCAGGAGGAAACCAGTCCGCCCAGCCCCCCCCCCACATCAACCCGTCTCCCCAGACTTACCCAGGAGGAAACCAGTCCGCCCAGCCCCCCCCCCCCCACATCAACCCGTCACCCCAGACTTACCCAGGAGGAAACCAGTCCGCCCAGCCCCCCCCCCACATCAACCCGTCTCCCCAGACTTACCCAGGAGGAAACCAGTCCGCCCAGCCCCCCCCCCCCCCCCACATCAACCCGTCACCCCAGACTTACCCAGGAGGAAACCAGTCCGCCCAGCCCCCCCCCCCCCACATCAACCCGTCACCCCAGACTTACCCAGGAGGAAACCAGTCCGCCCAGCCCCCCCCCTTAACGTCCCATCAACCCGTCTCCCCAGACTTACCCAGGAGGAAACCAGTCCGCCCAGCCCCCCCCCCCCCCTTAACGTCCCATCAACCCGTCTCCCCAGACTTACCCAGGAGGAAACCCGTCCGCCCAGCCCCCCCCCCCCTTAACGTCCCATCAACCCGTCTCCCCAGACTTACCCAGGAGGAAACCAGTCCGCCCAGCCCCCCCCCCCTTAACGTCCCATCAACCCGTCTCCCCAGACTTACCCAGGAGGAAACCAGTCCGCCCAGCCCCCCCCCCTTAACGTCCCATCAACCCGTCTCCCCAGACTTACCCAGGAGGAAACCAGTACGCCCAGCCCCCCCCCCCCCCCTTAACGTCCCATCAACCCGTCTCCCCAGACTTACCCAGGAGGAAACCAGTCCGCCCAGCCCCCCCCCCCTTAACGTCCCATCAACCCGTCTCCCCAGACTTACCCAGGAGGAAACCAATCCGCCCAGCCACCCACACCACCAAGATCACGAGTGATCCAAGCAACAACTAACAAAAAGAATAAAATTAACACTGAAGCTTGGGCATACCTGAAATTAGAAAAATAAAATCAAATTGTCTTTTTGTTTTATTTAGAAAGGCCATTTTATTTTCTTGTGCGCATGTTTCGCGTGGCGCATATATCTCATAACGCAATTTTTTATAGAGAATTTAAAGTGCGCAGGATTTGTTGCGCATTTTATGTAACGCTTTTTTAAAGGCTCATAGACATGGCCAATGTAAAACTAGAGCTTCGAAGATGGCCCCCTCTAGCTCTATCGTGTAAGTAATTTAGTCTTGGCCGTTTGAGGCACAAGAAATATTTTTATAGAAACAGAAGTCTCACGTGATAGGTCCCAAATTGTTGTACTCATCTCTGATCATGGCGTTGACCTTCTCCAGTTTTTTCTTGTTGGCTTCTGGAGCACAGCAACAACACAGACACCCTCCTCTGTACAGACATACAGGGGACAGTTTAGTTTGGTTAGATCTTTCAAATGTTTGTACTACAACAACACAGACACACAGGGGACAGTTTAGTTTGGTTAGATCTTTCAAATGTGTGTACTACAACAACACAGACACACAGGGGACAGTTTAGTTTGGTTAGATCTTTCAAATGTTTGTACTACAACAACACAGGGGACAGTTGAGTTTGGTTAGATCTTTCAAATGTTTGTACTACAACAACACAGACACACAGGGGACAGTTTAGTTTGGTTAGATCTTTCAAATGTTTGTACTACAACAACACAGACACACAAGGGACAGTTGAGTTTGGTTAGATCTTTCAAATGTTTGTACTACAACAACACAGGGGACAGTTTAGTTTGGTTAGATCTTTCAAATGTTTGTACTACAACAACACAGACACACAGGGGACAGTTGAGTTTGGTTAGATCTTTCAAATGTTTGTACTACAACAACACAGACACACAGGGGACAGTTTAGTTTGGTTAGATCTTTCAAATGTGTGTACTACAACAACACAGACACACAGGGGACAGTTTAGTTTGGTTAGATCTTTCAAATGTTTGTACTACAACAACACAGGGGACAGTTGAGTTTGGTTAGATCTTTCAAATGTTTGTACTACAACAACACAGACACACAGGGGACAGTTTAGTTTGGTTAGATCTTTCAAATGTTTGTACTACAACAACACAGACACACAAGGGACAGTTGAGTTTGGTTAGATCTTTCAAATGTTTGTACTACAACAACACAGGGGACAGTTTAGTTTGGTTAGATCTTTCAAATGTTTGTACTACAACAACACAGACACACAGGGGACAGTTGAGTTTGGTTAGATCTTTCAAATGTTTGTACTACAACAACACAGACACACAGGGGACAGTTTAGTTTGGTTAGATCTTTCAAATGTTTGTACTACAACAACACAGGGGACAGTTTAGTTTGGTTAGATCTTTCAAATGTTTGTACTACAACAACACAGGGGACAGTTTAGTTTGGTTAGATCTTTCAAATGTTTGTACTACAACAACACAGACACACAGGGGACAGTTGAGTTTGGTTAGATCTTTCAAATGTTTGTACTACAACAACACAGACACACAGGGGACAGTTTAGTTTGGTTAGATCTTTCAAATGTTTGTACTGCAACAACACAGGCACATAGAGCAGAGAACAGTTTAGTTTGGTTAGATCTTTCAAATGTTTGTACTACAACAACACAGGGGACAGTTGAGTTTGGTTAGATCTTTCAAATGTTTGTACTACAACAACACAGACACACAGGGGACAGTTGAGTTTGGTTAGATCTTTCAAATGTTTGTACTACAACAACACAGACACACAGGGGACAGTTGAGTTTGGTTAGATCTTTCAAATGTTTGTACTACAACAACACAGACACACAGTGGACAGTTGAGTTTGGTTAGATCTTTCAAATGTTTGTACTACAACAACACAGACACACAGGGGACAGTTGAGTTTGGTTAGATCTTTCAAATGTTTGTACTACAACAACACAGACACACATGGGACAGTTGAGTTTGGTTAGATCTTTCAAATGTTTGTACTACAACAACACAGACACACAGGGGACAGTTTAGTTTGGTTAGATCTTTCAAATGTTTGTACTACAACAACACAGGGGACAGTTGAGTTTGGTTAGATCTTTCAAATGTTTGTACTACAACAATACAGGCACATAGGGGACAGTTTAGTTTGGTTAGATCTTTCAAATGGTTGTACTACAACAACACAGACACACAGGGGACAGTTGAGTTTGGTTAGATCTTTCAAATGTTTGTACTACAACAACACAAGGGACAGTTTAGTTTGGTTAGATCTTTCACATGTTTGTACTACAACAACACAGACACACAGGGGACAGTTTAGTTTGGTTAGATCTTTCAAATGTTTGTACTACAACAACACAGACACACATGGGACAGTTGAGTTTGGTTAGATCTTTCAAATGTTTGTACTACAACAACACAGACACACAGGGGACAGTTTAGTTTGGTTAGATCTTTCAAATGTTTGTACTACAACAACACAGACACACATGGGACAGTTGAGTTTGGTTAGATCTTTCAAATGTTTGTACTACAACAACACAGGGGACAGTTGAGTTTGGTTAGATCTTTCAAATGTTTGTACTACAACAACACAGACACACAGGGGACAGTTTAGTCTGGTTAGATCTTTCAAATGTTTGTACTACAACAACACAGACACACAGGGGACAGTTTAGTTTGGTTAGATCTTTCAAATGTTTGTACTACAACAACACAGACACACAGGGGACAGTTGAGTTTGGTTAGATCTTTCAAATGTTTGTACTACAACAACACAGTTTAGTTTAGTTAAATTCCTGATGTTGCATAAATGGCGCTGAACTTGCCGCCTCATTTATAAAAAAGTCATGGAAGGCTAAGGGAGACGTAGAGGCGCAGGGCGGGGAAGCAGCTGGCAGAGGCAGGACTGTCATGGGGGACTGCCAGGAAAATTGCTGGAGACCGACAAACTGGAGGAAGTTTTCTGTGGCGGCCCGTGCATCTTGGGCACACAAAAGAAACGATGCTTTTAATGTATGTTGGGATGAATACAATTCTCTGCTTCTAGTAATATCTATGATTAATGTTAGTTACCCATTCGTGTTGGGTTGGTTAACGGGAAGTTTATTTAACGAGCCTTGATCCGAACGTTAGACTATCGAGTTACAATGCAGCGTACGATCATCCTTCTACAACACCATCAAATAAACCATGACGAACAACTCACTGCTGACATTATGTGATTATTCATTCATGCTTCGTACTTCCCTGGTGGAGACACGGCATGAAAAGTGACGTACCTGCATCTGAGAAAGACGACGGCCATCCAGAGCCACATGATGCAGACAAGTATAAGAGACAGAGGCAGGCCATAGATAAGCCAGCTGCTGAATGTGATGGGGGACTTGAGGCCCACGTCTTCAAATACTCTGTGGGGTAAACACGGAAACAGAGACGTTGTAATGATATAAGTCTTTCTGCTCGCTACATGCCTTACAACTCTTTTAACTGATTCACGTAAGTTTGGGTGAAATCTATTAAACTATTGCATTTTTACCTAGAAGAGTTTGACCACTACGGTTTGAACCAGAGGCGTAGCGACCCTTCCCCTAAAACTTTCGATTTGCACCCCCATCAAACTTTCGATTACTTTTTCCAACCCCTTTTGGCGCCCTCTAAGGTCGGCGCCCGCGGACATATGCCCCCTCTGCCCCCCCCCCCCCCCCCATCGCTACTTCTCTGGTTTGACCTAGAACAGTTTGACCACTACGGTTTGACCCCGTGTACCACTTACTTCTGGGCCGCAGCATACAGTACAAAATTAGGACCTGTACCAGTTAGACTGGCGATGCCTCCAATGTTGGCCGAGTAGGCCACAGTCAGGGACAGCGCCTTGCTCAGTCTCAGAAACTCGGCTTCCGCTCGTTCATGGTTGTGTTTGCGTTTGAGTGGCTCCGGTGAAGTAGAGTCTCGCCTTTGAAGAGATTCGTCAACATAGTTTGTATAGTGGGTAGTGCTTTGGTTTTAATGTGATAGGTTGTGTGGTGAGAGATATACGGTTAATGTGAGCTAACTTGTAGAACTAACTTTTCCAACTCATAAAAATCGACTTATTAAAAAAAAATGTAGACAGTTATTTTATGGTAATGAATAAAACGAACCTAAAAAACGTATTAATAGCAAGGTTTTAAATGCACTGAAAATAAAATAAAATCTAATCTGCTTTCTTTCATAAAAGCTTGGGTTGCTGATGACATCTTTTACATATTTTATCAATCAACAGCTGGCTAGTATTTTTATCTTGTTATCTTCCTTTTAAATTTGAATACAGTAATGTTTAAATAACATTGTCTCTCTAATTTATTATTTTTTAAAATGATATTCATGTATTGCTCTCGAAGAACGTTTCTCAAAAAGTTTGAACGAAATCGCTGCAAAATAAATGGGTTAAAATTTAATTACAAGATTTGCGAAAAACCCACACACAAAAAACAGACTGTGAACTAAACTTGTAACAATAAAAAAATACTCTACCTGTAAACGTTTTACATAAAATTTGGACACCATATTGGTTAAGTCTTTTGGTGAGACGCACGGGGGGGACGGGGGGAGGGGTGTTGATAACAAATTCTCTCACCTGTCTGAGCTACCGTTTGAGTTCTGGTTCAGCTGGTGTTTGCTCATGGCCTTGAACTGCTGCAGCAAGGCCTGGACGATGGTCATCATCATGGCCGTCGTGGCCGTGTTGGAGATCCACATGGACAGGAACCACGTGACCATACAGATGCCGAAGAGAAGACTTTGATCAGAAAACAAAATTTCACGTTAGTGAGTCTTAAAGTTACTTCAAACTGTTGATCATCGTGCGTCTCATTCTTAGGTGTTTTCGTTTGTTTTTATTTGATTAAAATATTAAGTCTGATATAAACGAAAAGACTATTTAGACGATTTCGAAAAAAAAATTCATTTGTTCAGAATATCTAAAATAATATAAAATCTGGAGTCACCATTTGGGTTCAGCACCAACCACCTTCAACACCAACAGTGCGATTCTTTTGTGAACATTCCACGTTTCTATTGCTATGGCAACCAGAAGTCCGCCCATAAACAACATGGACGTCTCCTATTGAGTAGGGGAAAAAAACGTTGGACACTACGTAAACAGAGCTTTAACCATCTTCCACACAGCTTCCACACAATTGTCAAACAACTTCCCCACAACTTCCAAAAGTACCAACCCCTCACATCTAAGCACCAACCCGTTACACAGAAGTACTAACCACTAACACCAAAGTACCAAGCACTTATACCAAAGTATCAACACTCGCGCCCTATTGCATACCCGTTACACTAGAGTGCCAACCTCCGTAACACCAAAGTGCCAACCCCCGTAACACCAAAGTGCCAACCCCCGTAACACCAAAGTGCCAACCCCCGTAACACCAAAGTGCCAACCCCCGTAACACCAAAGTGCCAACCCCCGTAACACCAAAGTGCCAACCCCCGTAACACCAAAGTGCCAACCCCCGTAACACCAAAGTGCCAACCCCCGTAACACCAAAGTGCCAACCCCCGTAACACCAAAGTGCCAACCCCCGTAACACCAAAGTGCCAACCCCCGTAACACCAAAGTGCCAACCCCCGTAACACCAAAGTGCCAACCCCCGTAACACCAAAGTGCCAACCCCCGTAACACCAAAGTGCCAACCCCCGTAACACCAAAGTGCCAACCCCCGTAACACCAAAGTGCCAACTCCCGTAACACCAAAGTGCCAACCCCCGTAACACCAAAGTGCCAACCCCCGTAACACCAATGTGCCAACCACTTACACCAAAATAGACAGCCGACGTATCCTTGGCAGACATGACACCTAGGGCGGGTAGAAAGACAACAGGGGCCAGAGCTGTGACAGCTATAGGCATGGCTTCAGTTACCCAGTACACAGCCATGACAGCTATAGTGTAGCCGCACCTCGCTTGTCTCTGGAACTGTGGGGGTAGGTAACTGGTGGTTAGGTCAGGTGGTTAGGTCAGGTGGTTAGGTTAGGTGGTTAGGTGGTTAGGTCAGGTGGTTAGGTCAGGTGGTTAGGTTAGGTGGCTAGGTCAGTTGGTTAGGTCAGGTGGTTGGGTCAGATGGTTGGGTCAGGTGGTTAGGTCAGGTGGTAAGGTGGTAAGGTCAGGGGGTTAGGTCAGGTGGTTAGGTGGTAAGGTCAGGGGGTTAGGTCAGGTGGTTAGGTCAGGTGGTTAGGTCGGGGGGTTGGTACAGGTAGTTAGGTCAGATGGTTGGGTCAGGTGGTTAGGTCAGGTGATTAGGTCAGGTGGTTAGGTCAGGTGGTTAGGTCTTGTGGTTAGGCAGGTGGTTGGTTCAGGTGGTTGGTACAGGTGGTTATGACAGGTGGTTGGTTCGGGTGGTTAGGTCAGGTGGTTAGGTCAGGTGGTAAGGTGGTAAGGTCAGGGGGTTAGGTCAGGTGGTTAGGTGGTAAGGTCAAGGGGTTAGGTCAGGTGGTTAGGTCAGGTGGTTAGGTCGGGGGGTTGGTACAGGTAGTTAGGTCAGATGGTTGGGTCAGGTGGTTAGGTCAGGTGATTAGGTCAGGTGGTTAGGTCAGGTGGTTAGGTCAGGTGGTTAGGTCAGGTGGTTAGGTCAGGTGGTTAGGTCAGGTGGTTAGGTGGTAAGGTCAGGGGGTTAGGTCAGGTGGTTAGGTGGTAAGGTCAGGTGGTTAGGTTAGGTGGTTAGGTCAGGTGGTTAGGTCAGGTGGTTAGGTCAGGTGGTTAGGTCAGGTGGTAAGGTCAGGTGATTAGGTCAGTTGGTTAGGTCAAGTGGTTAGGTCAGGTGGTTAGGTTAGGTGGTTAGGTCAGGTGGTTAGGTCAGGTGATTAGGTCAGGTGGTTAGGTCAGGTGGTTAGGTCAGGTGATTAGGTCAGGTGGTTAGGTCAAGTGGTTAGGTCAGGTGGTTAGGTCAGGTGGTTGGTTCGGGTGGTTAGGTCAGGTGGTTAGGTGGTAAGGTCAGGTGGTTGGTTCGGGTGGTTAGGTCAGGTGTTTAGGTGGTAAGTTCAGGTGGTTAGGTTAGGTGGTTAGGTCAGGTGGTTAGGTGGTAAGGTCAGGTGGTTAGGTCAGGTGGTTAGGTCAGGGGGTTAGGTCAGGTGGTTAGATGGTAAAGTCAGGTGGTTAGGTCAGGTGGTTAGGTCAGGTGGTTAGGTCAGGTGGTTAGGTCAGGTGGTTAGGTCAGGTGGTAAGGTCAGGTGATTAGGTCAGGTGGTTAGGTCAAGTGGTTAGGTCAGGTGGTTAGGTCAGGTGGTTAGGTCAGGTGGTTAGGTCAGGTGATTAGGTCAGGTGGTTAGGTTAGGTGGTTAGGTCAGGTGATTAGGTCAGGTGGTTAGGTCAAGTGGTTAGGTCAGGTGGTTAGGTCAGGTGGTTGGTTCGGGTGGTTAGGTCAGGTGGTTAGGTGGTAAGGTCAGGTGGTTGGTTCGGGTGGTTAGGTCAGGTGGTTAGGTAGTAAGGTCAGGTGGTTAGGTTAGGTGGTTAGGTCAGGTGGTTAGGTCAGGTGGTTAGGTGGTAAGGTCAGGTGGTTAGGTCAGGTGGTTAGGTCAGGTGGTAGGGTCAGGTGGTAGGGTCAGATGGTAGGGTCAGGTGGTAGGGTCAGGTGGTAGGGTCAGGTGGTTAGGTCAGGTGATTAGGTCAGGTGGTTAGGTCAGGTGGTTAGGTCAGGTGGTTAGGTCAAGTGGTTAGGTCAGGTGGTTAGGTCAGGTCGTTAGGTCAGGTGGTTAGGTCAGGTGGTAAGGTCAGGTGGTTGGGTCAAGTGGTTAGGTCAGATAGTTGGGACATATGGTTGGATGTTAAGTCAGGGGGTTAAGTGGTTAAGTCAGGTGTTAGATGGTTAAGTCAGGTGGTTGGGTAGTTAGGTGGTTAGGTGATTAAGTCAGGTGGTTGAGTCAAGTGGTTAGGTTAGGTGGTTAGGTCAGGTGGTTAGGTCAGGTGGTTTCGTCTGGTGGTTGGTTCAGGTGGTTGTTTCAGATGGTTGGTTCAGGTGGTTAGGTCAGGTGGTTGGTACAGGTGGTTAGGTCAGGTGGTTAGTTCAGGTGGTTGGTTCGGGTGGTTGGTTCAGGTGGTTAGGTCAGGTGGTTGGTTCGGGTGGTTGGTTCAGGTGGTTGGTTCAGGTGGTTAGGTCAGGTGGTTGGTTCAGGTGGTTAGGTCAGTTGGTTGTTTCAGGTGGTTGGTTCAGGTGGTTAGGTCAGGTGGTTAGGTCAGGTGGTTGGTACAGGTGGTTGGTTCAGATGTTTGGTACAGGTTGCTCATCACTTGTAGTTTATTACAGGTGACTACTACAGGTTGTTGGTTCAAGTGGTTATTACTGCTGGTAAGTACAGACAGTGTGTGCATGTATGCTATTATATAAATGATTCATTGCCTACAGATGTTTTAGTATGAGGTATCTTTGTATTGCAGTCGTTAGTAATGTATTTGTGATAACGTTGTGACTATACAATGTTAACAACCACAGTTAAAAACGTTTCTTTTGATAAAATCGAATCACCTCATCGTCCACGTAGAGAAATATGGGCAGAAAGACGAGGGGCGTGGCTACGATGATCACGAGGTACCAGAAAGACAGAAGATGTTTGACCAATGAGATTTTTTCCACGTCTGATGACGTCACGTCCATGCCACTGTCTATTTTGGTAACTGAATTTTGGCTGGATTTCAAGTAGTAAAAAATTAACAGTTAATAAAAGTGTTGAAAGATTTAAAAAAAACAAGCTATGCAATTCTTACATGATAGACTCAAGTTTCTATCATTATGGCTTTCTTTCTTTTGGTCGTTTGAAATGTTGCTTCTTCTTCGTTCTTAATTTTTAGTGTAGGAATGGATCGAACCTAATCTGTCAGAGGGTTTGAACTCGAGACTTTTTTCGAATTTTAACAACCATGACCTTTTTGCCGACTCGACCACGCCTCCAAAGTGTCAACTGGTTATGCGCCATTGAGTCCATTGAGTCCGATTTCAGCCTGCTTTTCTTTTTGGATTTGCTTCCATAGCCTTTGTCCAACCAAGAACAAACTACAAGGCAGCAGTTGTATGATTTTGGAGTTGTCTCTCCTAGAAGAGTGCAGTCCCCAGCTAATGAGCCTCATCTGCCCGAGGGTTCGATCGAACTCGAGACTTTTCGGTTGAGCAACCATGAGCTTTACCGACTCGACCATAAAACAATTAAGAATTCTTTCGAAATTCTTTCAAGACTCTTCAGATTCTGCTTATATGTGGACAGTGTTGTCATCACTATGTTCAAGGCTGCGAGTACTGAGTGACGTCATTAGAACAATTGATCAGCCCGAAAAGTTCGTGCTCGCAATGATGGTTATATTGCATTCATATTCTACATTCCATTTTGATAAGTTGATTAGGATAGCCCATTTATAAGTTATATATTTACGCATTCTACTTGGAAAAGCATAAGAGATTATCCGTAAATGACGTCACACTCAAAGAGGGAGGGGTGTCCGTAATTTTGTGACGGTGTGCGATGAGGGGGAGTAGGGGGGGGAGTGTTCAGATGGTGAGACGTCACACTTTTGCATTATAAAAAAGCAATGTTAAAAAAGGAATTTTAGCTGTTATTTCGCGTTTTAGAAAACTGTTTTAATAAATTGCAATAGGAATTGATTAAAATACTCTATTTCGACAGAGATCAGACAAGATTTTGGAAAAAATATCGTATTTTAAGAAAAATTCAACTGCAATTTTTTGGGGGTTGTAGGCTGAGGTGTGACGTCATTTTAGTGGGTTCTGAGTTTTTGTGACGATGTGTGAGGAAAGGGAGAGGGGGAAGGTAAAAATCGTCAAAAATGTGTGACGTCGTTTATGGATGACCCCTAAGATGTCCAACGATTGTATTTTGGTAAGAATCTATTTCTAATCTAAATGCGGATATCTTAAAAGTTTTTGTCCTGTTTTAAGGTTAACCTGTAGCCGGATATCCCCCGGGGTTTTCCGTTAATATCTTACCTTGCGTCAGACAAAGTTCTGACGTCACTTCCTCTAGAACCATTGACCTTTAGATCTGTCATCTCCAAGGTCGAGTCCCTCAGAAGGCTCTCGCTGTGTTCTTCCGTTTGTTGTGATCTGGGGTTGTGGACTTGTTCCATCTCACCAGTTTACAGGAAGTCTGTGTGTATGTGTGTGTGTGAAGTGTGTGTGTGGGGGGGGGGGGGGTCAGGATTGTTTTGGCAGGAAGTTTATGTGTGTATGTGTGTAAAGGGCGGGGGGGATTGGTGGTAAAGATTGTTTTGGCAGGAAGGAAGTGTATGTGTGGGGGTAAGTTTATCTCTGCATAGTACAGTAAAGTTGTTTGTATGTATGTATGTGTGTGGGTTGAGGGTTAGCTCAGCGGTTTACAGGAGCTTTGTGTGTATGTGTATATGTATGTGTATGTATGTATGTGTGTGGGTTGAGGGTTCTGAACAGGAACTTTGTTAGTTTGTATGTGTGTGAGGTGGGGGTAGGTTTCTCAACGGTTGAGCGTGTGCGTATGTATGTATATGTGTGGGGAGGGGAGTGTTCTCGACAATATACTAAGAGTCCGTGGTTGGGGGTGGGTGGTCGGGGCACGAGTTGAGAGTAAAATTTGAAGAGTTCACGTGAGGGACGTATAGAAGACGTGAACTTTGAATTGATGAGTGGTAATCTCATCCACCCATACCCCGTCCACACGGAATACACCACCGAGATGCTGCTTGTTGGTATTCTTTGATTTACTCTGCGTATAACAAAGTACCTATGTAAATATGTATCGACAAAACCTGTAAATGTAAACATTTTCATTTCCGGAAAAAAAAATACTTCATCTGCTTTATTGATATTTAGGTCCAAAAGGGTAGTTTGTTTTGTATTTAGAAAATGTAAACATCAGGTATCGAAACTTACGCATTTAAAATTCTGAAATCAAACTATCAATATTTAAACATAACAAAAGTAAACATTAATGATTTTAACTTCAATTATTATATATAATTAAAAACAATAACTTAAAAAAATTAATCAATCATCATAACTTACAAATTTAAAATCCAGTTTTACAATTATCAATTATCAATGCTAATAAATGTAAATATCAATTGTCAAAACTAACATACGTAAATATGAATTATCAAATCTAACAAATGTAAATATCAATTATCAAATCTAAAAAATATAAATGCCAATTATCAAAACGTATACATGTAAATATCAATTATCAAAATTTACAAATATAAATACCAATTATCAAAACTTACATTCCAAACGGAGCTGCATCAAATGTTTTGTTTCACACTACAAGAGACGGCCTAGGTGTAACATACGTCATACAGGGCTTTGTGGGTTAATTAAAATATTAAGATAAACACGTAACCAATTAATTTTAGCGGGTGCAAGTAATTAGATCTTTTTAAAATGTCACGTGGTTTTAGTTGCTACTTGGACACAGATCTTAAAGTATAAGAGGTGGGATAGTTACTGTTTATTTGGCATAGGGGGGTGGGTAACTGGGTAAAAAACTCCGTGATATGAACTGAAATTAGTTCAGTAGCTGAAATGTCTATTTTCTTGTTGACCTGTTATTGTGTGGCTTGTTAAAATGTCTATTTTCGTATTGTGGACATGATAAAAGTCTATTTTCTTATGGACGTGTTATTGTGTTACGTTTTAAAAAGTCTATTTTCTTATGGGCGAGTTATTGAGTAACATGTCTATTTTCTTGTTTTAGACGTGTTTTGTATGTTGTTAAAATGTCTATTTTCCTGATTACGTGTAATTGTGTAGCTTTCTAAAATGTCTATTTACTTGTTGTGGCCGTGTTATTGTGTAACTTGTTAAAATGTCTATTTTCTTGTTAACGTGATATATTGTATAGCTTATTAAAAAGTCTATTTTCTTGTTTTAGACGTATTATGTATGTTGTTAAAAAGTCTATTTTCTTGTTTTAGACGTATTATGTATGTTATTAAAAAGTCTATTTTCATGTTTTAGACGTATTATGTATGTGTTAAAAATTCTATTTTCTTGTTGTGGTCTTTTATGAGTATCAACTTTCAGAGTAAGTGCATCACGCGTCAATATACGTGTTAGATTCAATTTAATGGACGTAATTCAAGCTTTTAAGCCACCTTAAAATATAACCCATATATCAAACTAAAACGTAGAAAACCATCTTGTTGAAACCATTATAGATTTCTATTTAATATGCGAATTTGGTAAGAGTAGACACATTTTTTTTAAACATTTATAAAAAAAATTTGTAACAAGCATATACATAATGTACTTATATAGAAAATTGTCCTTAAATGTATAGAAATGCACGACTATATAAATAACTATAAAGAAAAGCATGGGTCGCTTCTTAAATTTTAGAAGCAGTAATCACTAGATAATAAAGTGACCTGTACTTTGTCATCGGATTTCTACCTACGTGCCAAGTTTTAAAGAAATAGGTCCGTTAGAAAGGGTCAAAATTTCGCTCGCCCGTTCCGGCACACCACTAAGATCTAGGCAAGAAATACAAAAGCACAAGAAGGCAATTTGAATAAAAGCTTGAAAAAAAAAAAAAGAAAATAAAAAAAAAATTGAAAAACTATTTAAGTGCAAACATTTGGTCAACCAGCAAGTGACAACGCTAAACCATAATGTGTCAACCAGCTCGGGATAAACCTTGAGACAACCAGCACATTGCAGGCAACCACTCTTGAGGTTCATATATATATATATATATATATATATATATATATATATATATATATATATATATATATATATATATATATATATATATATATATACATACATATATATATATATATATATATATATATATATATATATATATATATATATATATATATATATATATATATATATATATTATTTATTTATTTATTTATTTTTATTTATATATATAAATAATGATTGTTAAAAAATATTATCCAACAAATAATCAAGTTCTTACCAAAATTTACAACAGATCATGATACAACTCATCCATCAGATACAAAACTTGCTACCCTGAGCGCTAACATTTCTGGTCGTTTTAACACTTGGCCGTGTTTTCAAGTCTACAACAATACCTGTGTAGCTGTATACACCAACCAGGATCTAAAAATCTATGTACAATGTTAAACAACAAATCACGTGATCTCAATTCCATGTAGGATATAAACAACAACAGATCACATGACATAGTACTCAAGCATGTGTATAATAAGGCCACCATTTTTTAGACATATTTGGAGGCTTTTTAACACACCCAAATATAGAATTTTATTCTTGTCAATTATTTATTTATAGTTTTGAAAAATAAGTTTTTATAACCGCTAAAAGAAACGCTATTGACTTTCTTATTTGTTGTTTGTTTAATTAGAGGCATTCCATAATATCTAAAGATGAACATCTACGTTTATATGAAGTTTTATTTACATGTAACAAGTGTTATTGTTTTTATGTAACAAAATGGTATTGTTATTATTGTTTTGGTAATTACCTGCCCATCTTGTGATACACCATCAACTGTAGGTAAAGGTGTCATCCATTTATGACGTCCACACGAGGGGGGGGGGGGAGGGTCTAAAATGCAAATTTTTTGTGGACGTCATAAATGGATGACCCCAAACTAGTTTAACCGATTGTAACATAAAGGGAGATAAGTAGCAAAAGAAAATGTCAGACGACGAAAACCAAACACAATAATTTAATTTAATGACATTTAATGCACAATGACAGGCATTACAAGATGATAAATATAGAAAATTATTGTCTGGTTTTTTAATTAAATGATAACTAGATTAATTATGTAACTAGATGTGTTTTGTTGTACAGTAGACGGGTCTAAGATAACGTGACAAGTAATAAAGATAATTTATCAAATAGTTGTTTCAATTTTATGTAAATTCTATAGATTTATTTAATGTTCTACGCTAGACCTACAATATTTTGTTTTACTTACAAATAAGATTCTTGATAATCTTTCGTAATATACGCGTATGAAAGAAAACATAATCGCATTTAACGCTTTGTTCCTATTTTTAAAAATACAATTATATATGTATTGATATGAAAAATTGAATGAAAAAAAGGGGGGAGTGACAAATAATGTGTTTTAATGTTTTAACAAAATATAAATACATTTTAAAATACAGTAACTTTACAATTTATGAAATTAATATTTTAGTGGTGAAAACAGTTTTAAAAAATGCGTTTAAAGAATGTAAGAAAAGCAAAAATCATTACAAACAATTTGAAAATTCCGTATTTAATAAAAGCAAGTTTGTTTTATTTATTTCTGTGAAAGAAATTTCTCTAATTACGTTTATTAAAACACAGAGAGCTAAAATTGAAATGTGTGAACAAAAGCGTCAAGGATTTTTTTTAAGAGTTGGGGAAGTCATTTCTATGGCGACAATAGGATCAAATATTGAAATGGACTACTCTGATTTAACACAGCCAACTATCTATAGAGTTACGTGCCCTTGTTTGGTTACCGGCCCTTTTCTAAACCAAGAAGTTCCTAGCCGATCAAATAGCGGTTTCTTGGCCTTGACTTACCTGTCACAACGACCTCCATAGTCGAGTAAAATTAGACCGTTGTTTGGGGGTGGGTGGGGGGGGGGGGGTGTAGATAATAAAAGTTAATGGGTAAAGTTCAATCAAGGACAAGGTTCCCCGCCTTTTTGTTTTAGCATTTTTGGAATTGAAGTTTATTTACATTTCGATTGTGTCGGGTTGTTATAGAACAACCTCCCGTGTTTAGGGTTGTTATAGATCCGCCTCTCGTGAATGGAGTTTTTAGATAGGAAAAGGACAATAATCAGACAATTGTGGAATGAATGTATTGTAAGGGCAATTCATTACTTATTGTAGATATGTCATTAAGCACATTATTCATCAATATACAGCTATATATACTTATATATATATATATATATATATATATATATATATATATATATATATATATATATATATATATATATATATCTTTATTATTCATACATAATTATTTTTGTCCCACACGCACCAAGTGTTTGTATTATAAATAGATTAGCTCGATGTAGCTAAAATGATGAAACTTTGAATAGAGTGAATGCCCGTTGCACAGGCCCTTGCATTAAGCCCTCCTTGTAGTGCAAGGTTGATGTTTTTCTATAAGAACTCTGGTACAAAAAGATCAAGTTCCACTCATGTTGTTGATTCTTACTTGTACGTTGTGACCTACTTAGGTCGAGTCATTTTTATTTTGACATTGTATAATTCCTTATATGGAATGATGGTGTAACACCTGGGGTTTTTCCACTGACTTATTAAGGTGTTTGAGACATAGAAATTTTCCATTAAAATCTGATTGAATGATTCTGATCAGATGATTATCCCAACCAATGGCGACATGAGTTGAGGATAACCTCCCCTGTCACAGAAGTCTTTAATTGCACTGCACACTCGCAACCCCAGGCAGTTTATCTTGACCTCGCAGACTACGAGGCTGTTTTACCTTGATCAGGCAGTCGTCCATATTGTCCGGCTATAGACTCTGACCATTTGAACGTGAGAGTACTTAAGACCTGTGTGTGCCTTGCTTTCTTCAGTTGATTTAGTCTTCTAGTTTAATATTACTTGTCGCTAAGTAAGTCTTGAAGCTACAGCAGTGTTGTGTGGCCTGTAGCTGTTCTTTAGACAGTGTAGAAATCTGTGATAGTGTTTTTTCCTGCATTTTGTAAGTTGGGTTTTTGATATTTTATACATTAAATATTTTATCTAGTTCATCTTTGTGTTCTGCCACAACTGTGTTCGCTGATTAAAAGGTCGTATGTAGATTGGATGAGTGTTAATTACAATAGTATCACTAGCTTCCCTAGACATTAAATTCGAGCCCTAGTGGGTCGTTGTGTTAAGTGTTCATCCACTTAGGCCGTAAGGCATTTGCATATGACCCCGAAAAAAGAATCCGGGGACGTTCTCCTTCTATTTGGCTGATAGATAGGTTAACGTTACAAAGTGGGGGCCCGTCCGGGATTTAATCTGTCGTTCCAGTTGTTGGTTATATCAGTTGAATACTAAGGTTAGTTGGATTTAGTTGTTTTTATATCCAGTAGCGCAGTGTTCTTACAACGCGCGCTCAGGCTAGAGTTATCTAGGTCAAATAAGCAGACGTGTCGTCCTACATTTAGAGGTCAAGTACACGGCCCAACGCTGTGTATTAATTTAAAGGATCTAGGCTTGTTGTGATTTTCAAGTTAGTGTTATGGAGTCTTTTTTGGCTAATCCTACTGTTGAAGATGTAGAAAAGTTGAGTAGAAAAGTTTTGGTTAGTGTTGTTAAGGAATTGAAATTGGATTATTCTGTTACGCAGAAGTCAGAGGTGTTGAGAGATAAAATTGTTGTTC